GGCTGAGGGGTCCGTTCCTCGTGGAGAGCAGTCTAAGACGGAAGACGTGACCGCCTTGACAGGACACCAACTGGTCATTTTCGAAGATGACACTGAGGACACAGAAGACCCAATAGTGAGTGAGCCTATCCACCCATTCACCATTTCCATTACGCTGGTTAGTCCACAGTCAGGGTGTTGGGGTACGTATGATGCCCTCATTGACACAGGGTGTTCCCGGTGCTTAATCAGTGAGGGGGTGGTGAAAACAGTAGGAATTAGGGTAAAGGCCTTGTTCAAACCAGTAAGGTTCGGGCAAGTGGATGGGTCTCTGTTGGGAGGGGCTCCGCCACGTTCATCACAGAACCAGTACGGATAGAGATGGGAGAGCATTGGTAGGTCATACATTTCATCGTAATCCCCTCAATGATGGAGGCCATGATATTGGGTCTAGCGTGGTTAGACAAGTGGGGCCCGACGATCTGGTGGGAGGAGGGTTATTGGAAAGTCCGGATAGGGGTTGGTCCCCGGCCTCCATCACATGAGCGGGTCCAAGGAGGCAAAGAGATCCAGGAAGGGGGTGGAGGAGAGCAAGTCGCCTTTCCACCAGAGTACGCTGAGGTGTTCAGTGAGCGGGAGAGCGAGGTCTTGCCTCCTCATTGTTCTACTGATTGTGCCATCGATATCATGCTGGGTGCCAAACTCCCCAAACCTTGGATATACGCCATGACACCCAAAGAGATGGCTGAGCTAAGGCAGTACATTGACAAAAATCTGGCAAGGGGGTTTATCCAACCCGCCTGATCATGGGTTGTGGCCCCAGTATTGTTCAAAGAGAAAAAGGACGGCACTCTCTGCCTCTGTGTGGATTTCAGAGGTCTCAATGGGGTATGTGTGGAAAACCTATACCCCCTACCACTCATGAAGGACCTGTTAGCCCACCTAGCAAAGGGTAAAATCTTTACCAAGTTCGATCTGCAGGAGGCATATTATAGGGTATGAGTAAAAAGAGGGGATGAATGGAAAACCGCATTCAACAGTCCTCTGGAGAGTTACCAATATCGGGTAATGCCCTTTGGGTTACAGGGGGCCCCTGCGGTATTTATGCACCTGATTAATGAAGTTCTGCATGAGTATTTATATCAGGGGGTCCTTGTGTACCTAGATGTCATCTTCATATACTCCGAGAACAGGACAGACCACATTAGGTTGGTAAGGCAGGTTTTGGAGAAACTTCTGCGAGTACAATTGTATGTCAAACTGTCTAAGTGTGCATTCCATCAAACCCAGTTAGACTACCTTGGGTATCGGATCTCGGGGGAGGGCATAGAGATGGACCCAGCTAAGGTTCAGGCTGTGCTTGAATGGCAAGCCCCACAAACACGACGCCAATTGCAAAGTTTCCTCGGCTTTGCGAATTTCTATTGCCAGTTTATCCCCTTGTTCGCTATGGTGGCTTTATCCTTAACAGACCTGCTCCGTACCAGACACTTGGTGAGTAAGCCACGGCCTACCCAATTATTGCCATGGTCACTCGCTTGCCAAAAAGCCTTTGAAACCCTGAAAGGTTTGTTTTTGAGGGAGCTGGTCTTATGACATCCAGACTTGGAGAAAGAGTTTATGGTGCAGGCAGAAGCCAGTGATATGGCGGTGGGGGCGGTTCTGCTTCAGAAAAACAATCAGGGTCCTGCAGCCTTGTGTGTTTACATTGTGTAAGTTAACTACTACTGGGCGATATGGGAAAAGGAGGCATTTGCTGTAAAGTGGGCGTTAACCACATGGTGCAATTTCCTGGAGGGGGCCAAGGAACCATTCGAGGTGTGTGGACTGATCATAAAAACCTTGAGGCCCTACAAACACCTTGCTGCCTTGCTCTGAAACATATGAGATGGGCACAGTATTTCCAGAGGTTTCGGTTTCAGTTGAAATACGTGCCTGGTGGGAGGAACTTTTTGGCAGATGCATTATCCCAGATGCCGCAATACAACAGCAAGAGGGAGGAGGTGGTGCAGGCCATGATACCCCCCCCTTGTGGCATCCAGCCGAAAGAGTAACCACGCTCAGACCAGCAGAGGACTTGGTGCAGGAATTGCAGAGCGCAACTGTGAGAGATCCCTGGTTGGTGAGCCATCTGGCCGTATTAACCAAGAGGGGGGGTTTGGCATGGAAGGGCGATAAGGTCTACGTGCCAGGAAAGGCACGGACGAAGGTACTCCACTGAAGCCATGATGTTAAGCAGGCTGGTCACTTTGGCTTCCTGCAACCATTGCATTTACTCAGACACCAATTCTGGTGGCCAGGGATGAAGGCAGATGTGGAAACCTATGTACGGGAATGTCCCATTTGTGCTGCCATAAAACCCCGTGTAGGAAAACTGCCTGGCCTATTACAACAGGTCTCCAACCTGACCCGGCCTTGGGAAGATAGCAATGGACTTTATTGTAGAACTACCAGATAGTCGTGGAAATACGGTAATATGGACAGTAATAGACCTTTTTTCAAAACAAGCACATTTCATCCCATGCAAGGGTTTACCATCTGTTCAATGGTTGACTAAACTGTTCATAACACATGTGTACCGGCTGCATGGGATGCCCAGACGTATAATATCTGACTGGGGTGTACAGTTTACTGCCCGATTCTGGCGGGAGTTCATCCACTCGATCGGTTCGTCACAGGGCCTGAGTTCCGCGTTCCACCCCAGTACCAATGGAGCGGCTGAATGAGCCAACACGATGGTGGAACGGTATCTGAGGTGCTATATTGATTATCAACAGACGAACTGGGCAGATCTCCTACCGTTCACCGAGGTGACATACAACAACACGGTCCACAGCAGTACCGGCTTCACCCCCTTTCGGGTGGTGCACAGAGTGGAATTTGTACTGATTCCGGAATGCCTGCAGGAAGACCCCTCGCCTTGTCCTCTGCAGGAGTGGATGCCTCGGATTCGAGAAGTGTGGGACTCGGTCAAGAGTCAAACAACCAAACAGCTGACAGGCAGCCGCATCCCAGCTGCGAGCACCGGCGGCGTTTTTCCAGGCCGCGGAGCAGCTGAGAGCTCCAGTGACATTCCTTGGGCCACAGAGCAGCTGAGAGCTCCGGCGGTGTTCCTCTGGACATTTGCCATCCGGGGTACAGACAGAGCTAATGCCCTGTAGTTGGCTGGGCCGAAGATAAGGTCTGCAGCTGTATGAGTCTGGGTGGGACGGGGGCCATGCAGCCCGGGTGGGACGGGGCCATGCAGCCCGGGACGAAGAGGTTGCTTGCTGTTGCCAGTAGCCTTTTAAGGGATGCATGGCCGGATGCTGGCTAGGGGGTGTGTGTTTTATTGCCTGTGTGTATAAACAGCGCTGGGAGGCAGTTGCTCCCAGTGCGGACTTTGAAAGCACTGTTTGTTTGACCTGCATGCCGAAGATTCCTCTTAGTAGAACGACACCACCTGTGAACTGATTGACTCTGAGTCTTTATTGCCAGTGGTGAGTTAGGATCTTGGACAGTGGATTGTGCTGAAAGAAAATGACTGGCCCCAAATCACCCAGCCTGCTTTCATGCCTAAAGCAGGACTAGAACTCAAAGTGTCTTGTTCTGTAGGCCAGGCACTTTAACCACTAGACCCACTTCTGGAAAGTAGTTACTAAAGTTGTTTTAAAAGATGGGTGGTACATTAAACCATGAAAGCAATATTTAGCATCATCAAACAATAAATACAAGCTACAAGTGTGTAAAATTAAATAGCTTTCTAAAAATATTAAGGAAAGCTAAATGGATACGGGTACTCTCCAGTTCTTATGGACAACAATTTATTTATTTAGTTAGTTAGTTAAGTACAGATAGTCCTCGATTTACAACCATTCATTTAGTGACCATTCGAGGTTATAGCAGCTGTGAAAAAAGTGACATGACTAGTTTTCACACTAGTATGAAATATACGTCTACATTGTGCTCAGCAACACTTTTGTGGCTTTCAGCACAAGGAACATAGATGAGAATGATAAGTAAACATAAATGGTTAATTCATCATGATGTACCACGATGCCAAGGAAATTGCAAAACAAAATCAAGAGAAGATTTGATAACAGAAGGATAAAGTTGCGAATGGTTTTCTTAAGGTACAATTATCAGTAAGATTGAATTTGAAATAGAATCATGTGCTAAGGATGAACATATTACTGGTAAAATGTATATTTTTTTTGTTAAAATATGAAACAGAAGAATAAGTGAAAGAATGTATGATAAAATGGACTTAAACATTGGCTATAATATATAAATGATCAATGGAAAATAAGTGATTCAGAGGATTTAAATTTACATCATGTACTAGCCTTAAAAAGATTTTTTTAATAAAATGATGTCTCATTGGTATTTGTCACCAGGGAAATGTTCTTAATGTATTAACGGTATTTTGAATCTTTGCTGGAAATATGAACAATATAGAATTTTATCACATTTGGTGGATATGTAAACAAGCCAGAAAATATGGATATAAATGCATACATTAAGTAAGATTTTAAAGATTAAAATAGCATTAAAATCAGAAGGTATTCTTTTGGGACTAATGGACAGGCAACTAGAAACCTTGTTTTTATATATGACAAATGCAGCAAGACTATTATATGCACAAAGTTTTAGACTACCAACAATGGACGAATGGTTGGTGAAAATGATGGAATTTGCAGAGATGGCTACTTTAATTTTCTTGATCAGAGAAAAGATAATATCTATATTTATGACTGACTGGAAACCTTCTCTAGACTTTTTGCGTGAAACAGGAAAAAATGTATTTATGGCTTAGTTTATGTAAGTTAAATTGTAGAATTGTAAAAGAGAAAAAAATGCAATTCATCTAAAGCAGATTCACATCACAATTTGTTGACTGACAAATGATTGATAATTATAACATGTATATTATAGATTATAAAGGCTGAATCAAGGCCAAACAAACCCACATTGTGGCTTAATATGTCTGTGAGCCCAGCCTCAGTTCTAGCGTTTTCTTAACTAAATTCTCAGATCCTTACTTTTTGAACTCATCCTGGAAAGGTAAAAACAGCCACCGCCTTGGCATTTTCTTCAGAAACTTGTTTTGCTTTTCCTCTGTTTTGTCCAGCGACACATAGACGAGAACTAGTTGAGATGCTCGCTCCACATAAAACTCGTCTGTGAGTTTCACAAAAAAATCTTTCAGGATGGGCGCAAACTCTTGGCATCGAGGACATTCACCAGAGCCAAAATAGAGGAGCATGACTTTGTTCTCTAATTTTCGGGTGAGCTCCCGTTCCAACTCCAGCTCATCATTGTCCTTGTTGTTCACAACAAGGCTCTTGTGGAAAAAAAGGGCAGCCATGGCCACAAGGGGGCCTCTACATTTAAACTAGAACCATTTTTAGGCTCTGCCCCAGGTTAGCACTGAAAAGAAAAAAAAAGGGAAGACAACATTTGTCAATTGTTTTCCTCATCATTTATTTAGCAACTTACTGTATAACCTGCACTAAAGGCTCAGGAAGCACGAAAACCAATACTGTACACTAATCAGTGACATGCCCTATCACTGTCAACAGGTTTAATTGTCTCTGTTGGGTGGGATGGGGACACAAAACAGCAGCCAGCCCCACTGCACAGGAAGGCAGCCTTTTTAAAAACGCTGCTTTATGTTAAAACATTGTCGGATCAGAAAGAAAGAAACAAGGCATCCTAGAAGAAAAAAATAGCTCAACCTCTCCTGCTCCGCTAATTTTCTACTTGTTCAATGGTTAAAAACAAGCATGATAATTTGGCAATCTGCTGTTTCATTCAGCTAGAGAAATAGAGGGGGTTCATTTCTCCAAAATTTAATCCCAAAAGAAAATACAGTGAAAAGGACATTAAAACCCAGATTCAAATCTCAGCCCAGCTCAATGCAGGTCTCTCTTTCTTGTTGTCCTAGCCTAGCACTAACAAAAAATTAAAATGGTTGGGCCAGGAAAAGCAAATCATTATAAATGTCTCTATTAAAAGCTATTGTATGAGAGTAACTACTAGAGAGAATGGTTTGGCTGGTACTACAGTATACAGGCAGGCTATTGAAAATATTAGGTCTTGAGAATAGGAGAAATAAATATCTACATCTTTAAATAGATTATATTTATTAAACATGCCAGGTGTAATGACATTCCTAGGCAAAGATGGGGACTTTGCTGTCTCTGCAAAAATTAACAAGGCATTCCTGCTTTAGTTCAGTTTGATTTCGTCTCACCTCAAAGCCACCTCATTGTTGGGAAGGTAGTAAGCGATATTTTCAGGTCTTCAGACCACTGGAAAGGTCCTTCACAGTCTAAAAGGCAGTACTTTGTTCCCATATTTTAATTCACGGCTGATGCTAATAACCTATCTTACTGAATCTACCTCCCTACCTATTAATAGACAAAACAGCCAATACTTTAATCTTCTTACAGTAGCTATTTGGAAAGAATATGACCAATGAATTTGCTTGTCACTTTATCATGCTAACAGATTATGGCCCAATGAATCATATCATTAGATCTTCATTAATACTTTTATTCTTAACACTGGCAAACCTATTGCACAATTGAATCAATTGATCATTTTAAAACATTAAATTCTGTCCTCTTTATAAAAAGCAATTAGCATTCATTAAGGGCTGTTTTTAAAAATGTTAGCAATCTAAAATCAGCTAAGAAATGAAATAGCATATAAAACTGCAAAATAAAAAAGGCTCTGTCAGATTTCACATACGCAGCTTATATTTGTGATCCCTGATAATAATAAAAAATGATGTTTTGACAAATCCAAAAGACCATCAAAAAGAAAAGGAAATGCTCCTATCCCACTAGGCAGAATAACTGAGAGAAGAATCTGGAGTGCGGTAGTTTAATATTAATTATATGTATTATGTAACTTGCCTAGAGAGTTGTAATTGTGATTGAAGCAGCAGATAAACTTAAATAAGCAAAGAAACAAATATTTCTCTTTCTAATCAATTTACTTTATGTATAAGATACCTAAAATAACCTTTAATTATTATTTTAATAGAGAGGCTCATAAGCAAGAAAACAGGTATCTAGATTGCAAGCCCACCAAAGGCCTTTAATCTGACTGCTGACTGTGATATAACATTTTAATTGCATAATTTTGTAGGATTGACCTTGATGGAAGTAATATAAGATACATAATGCAATATGTGTTTGCTATTCAAGAGTGTCCATGGCAGTAAGGTGGGGAGAATGAGGGGCACAGCATCATGTTCCCATCCTTTCCTCTTTGCATATGTGTTCAATGGCAATGGTGAGACCTGGGTCGTGTGTTATACCTGCCAAATTTTGACCCCTGATGCAGACGTTGTTCTCTGTATCTAACATAAAAAGAGGCAAAGACAAAGTTCAAATATTGTGCTATGCCACATTATGGGTTTGGCTTAGCATGTTATGTGAATCTAGCTATTGTGATTTGTTCAACATCTTGGTGAAACTTTGTTCATTTAATAAATGATATTTATTTATCAAAATTTATATGGCTGCACATTTCTCCCAGAGTGGGTCTGGCTGAAAATATGAACATACAAGAAAACCAACAATTAAAACAGACTTTCCAAAAGCTGCTGGTTGTTATCTGCAAGCCTTCATGGCATAGGTTCTGGTTACTTGAGAGACCACCTATTTCCCATAGCATCTTCCTGACTGTTCAAACCTGCAAGGTTGGTGCACTCTGGGTTCCTTTGATTAAACCAGTGTTAATCAACCTTGACAATTTTAAGGCATGTGGACTTCAACTCCCAGAATTCCACAACCAGCAATGCTGGCTGTGGAATTCTGGGAGTTGAAGTCCACATGCCTTAAAATTGTCAAGGTTGAGAAACACTGGATTAAACAATGTCATGTATTGAGACCCTAGTAGTATGCCTCCTCTTTAGCAGTGCCTGCCCCCTGAGATTCCCCCTGCAATCCAGACTGCTCCCATTTTGCTATTGTTTAGAACAGCTGTGAAAACCTGGCTCTTCATCCAAATCATTGATGAGGGGGAGTGAGACTCCTCACTTTGTGGAACTTGCCCTGTTTTATCTTATACCTTTTATTGATTTCCTTGTTTGATTTTTGTGAGCTGCCCAGAGTTGGTTAGAGTCAGACAAAAATATAAGTGTAATATGTTGTTGATGATGATGTGGTTGTTGTTACCCAATAGAATGACACTAGTCATGTGGTACCTCCTGAAGAGCAATGTAACCGAAAATACCACACAGAATATATACACTGTGTAAAAATAGAAAATCAACCACCTGTCGCAAGAGAATGACCGTCTAAGTCATAAAAAACCTTGTACTTGGGAACATGACATAAAAATTAGGGAGTTTATTTTTAAGCTCTCTGGTTGCATTAAACAGTGGAGGTTATCATAATGAGTAAATTATGGCTAGGAGTTGCTTTTTTTTTTTTTTTTTACAGTCCTGAACCACAAAGAGGACAGTGTAGTTTTTTGTGAATTTAATAATGTAAGACTGGGAAAAGTTTTGCCCCAAACAAATCATGAATCCTGAAACAATAAATACCATACTAATAGGAATTAGGAGTACTTTTGAAGTGAAGTAAAGTAAAGGTCACTGGAATGTCATCAGTTCTTTGCATTATAAGTAGAAAACAAAGATAACCTGAACATTGTGTTCTTTCAAAGTTTTGTAATCATTCTGGTAAAGAAAATATCGCTGCAAATATGCTGTCAAAGAAATATGCACATTCTCTTGAAAATAAAAGCCTCTTCAAAATATTCTTTATTTAGAAGACTTGTTCAAATTGACAAGAAGACAAATATTTCCAATTACAATGAATTATAGTAGTCACAGTGGTATGTTTATGCATTATGACAACTGAGGAAAGTCAGTCTGTGGACCATGGACACAAAATGGGCCTATAGTAATCTATTTCTAATGCTGTATATTCCAAGCTTAGGAAAAAAACCAGAAACATACTTAAGAAACATATGCAGTATTTACTATTTTTCACCCTGATCTGGCCTGTATGTGACCTTTGGCCCAAAATGTTTGAGTACCTATGTCATAACAGAAGGCTATCTTATTTCTTGGTTTTAAATTGTTGCACTGATTTGAGAATCCTCGGTATGAATAGTGATGATAATGATGTTTGATAAATAATCAAACATAATCCAAACCGATGATAATTATATAAACAAAGTTCTGCTTAATCAATTAAGATTAAGAAATGTTTAAAAAAATCAACATACTCAACCATACCTACCTCATAATGTTGCTTTAAGGTAAAAAATGGGCAATCCCTTGAATTCTAGTGTAATAAATAACAAAACAAATTTTATAAAAGAGAGAAAGAGTAATGGCAAAAATTTGCATCAGATATCTGGCTCATCTAATCATAAAATAAATAGTACTACAAAAATCAGATAACTAAATATACAAAAATTAAGATATTACTTGCAATCCTCTGGATCTTGACTTAAGATGAGTACAACTCTAACTCAGCAGATATGGATGAAATTGAACAGGAAGCCTACAGTTTTAGCTAGAATATTTCTAGTTCTAGAACTTTTAACAGTAGTGATGTGTTTCATTTCTACTTAATTTTATTTATTAAATTTAGATACTGCCCATAGCAATATCATTTATATATTGCTCCATAGTGTTTTACAGCACTTTCTGGGAAGTTTTCAACATCAGTATATTGCCCCCAGCAATCTTGTTCCTCATTTTATCGACTTTGGAAGGTTGGAAGGCTGAGTCAACCTCTAGCCTGCCAGGATCGAACTCCAGACTGTAGTCAAGAGTCAGCCTGCAATACTACGTTCTCACCAGGGCTCCAGCTGCCCATCTCACTGTCTAGGTTTACAAGCAAAAATGATACAGGAAGTTCTCAACGTATGACCTTAATAGAGCCTGCCTGTTATGGTCGTAAGTCATGATGCTCATAAAGCAGGTCATCATGTGACTGGGCGATTTTACAATCCCTTTTTGCAGCAATGCTTAAGAGAATCTTCATTGCTGTGAAATGAACCTGTGGATATTAAATGAACACTATAGTTGTTAAGCAAACCTATTTGCTATGAAGTGTTTTTTTGCCAAAAAACCTGCAATAAACACTGCTTTTTGCAAAACTGTCATAGTCACGTGACCACAGATGCTGAAAATGGCTGTAAATGTAGGCTGATTGCAGTTACATGACTAGGGGGGCAGCTGCTGGAACTTTGAATCAGGTTGTAAATAACTTTTGGGGATCCAACATAATTTCAAAAAGTTGCTAAGCAATTGGATATAAGTCAAGGACTATCTGTAGCTAATCAATTTACCTTAAACTACAATTTAAGGACGAGATAAGTGTTACCGCATAGTGGCAAAAAAAAAGTCTGGTAGCACCTTTTCTGACAACATCAGCACTATTACAGGTACAAGTACTTGCATAAGAATGTAGGCGAATTCACATGTGTCCTGTAATAGGATATATGTCATTATGTCAGCAATGTCCTTCTGGATTTTCAATAGGACAAACAGGATCATGTTGCATAAAAGAATTAATGAACATAAATTTGACATCAGGACTCAAACGAAGGTAAACTAGTATCAGAGTGCTTTAACCTCCCCAGAGCATGCTTCAGTTACGGTTTTCTGGAAAGTTTTCTGGAAAAAAATAAAGGATAAACCTGAAAAAGATTTATAAGAATATTTTTTTTAAAAAATATTTATATTTATAATTTTGCTTTACTAATGAAAATTCAAAGCAAAATGTTTGTAAAAAATCTTTACAAAAATGTATATTCTAATAAAAATATTAAACCCAACAGCTTATGTAAACTTACTTTAAAAAGGCAATTCATTTTCCATATTTTTCACATGAATGTAAGACTGTGTATTGTATGTGGTATCTTTTCTACAATAAATATTACAGAATTACAGACTTGGAAGGGACTTTGGAGGTCTTCTAGTCCAGCCCCCTGCTTAAGCAGGAGACTCTATGATTTTGGACAAGTGGCTGTCTAATCTCTTCCTAAAAACCTCCAGTTGATGGAACACCCACAACTTCTGGAGAAAAGCCATTCCACTAATTATTGTTAATGACCAAAGTTCTCCTTAATTTTAGGTTAGATCTCTCTTTGATAAGCTTCCATCCATTACTTCTTGTCCTGTGTCCTGCCCTCAAGTGCTTTGGAGAATAGCTTGACCTCCTCTTCCTCTCTGTGAGAGCTCTCAAATATTCAGTCTCAGAACTCAGCAAACCCAAAGGGAGTTTAACATATTACAACGGTTAATTCTGCAATGGTATTAACCTAATTAATTTAATAACCCTAATATGCTTATGTAACCTTTATCCGCCTAACTGTCTTCTCCTTTCTCTCACACCCTTCCGCCTCACCCCAATTCAAATTCTGTATTTGGCTAGCCCAGTGGTTCTCAACCTGTGGGTCGGGACCCCATTTGGGGTCCAAGGCCATTTTACGGGGGTCACCAAACAAGGCTGTCCGCCATTTCCCCCCCCTTTTCTTTGACCACACCCCTGGCACCCGGTGATGTATAAGTGGTTGGGGGTCACCACAACATGGGGAACTGTATTATGGGGTCGCGGGATTAGAAAGGTTGAGAACCACTGGGCTAGCCGTTCCGCATCTGGTGAAGTGAGCCGCAATAAAATTTGTCAGTGTGATATTTTGATGTTTTGGATTCAGTTCTGTAACTGGGGAGGGGGAAAAAAACCGAAACTCGATAGAAGCAGAAGACACATCAGAACTCGGCGATCTGAGAACACGGGAGTTGGAAACGGCGGAAAGAAAAAACGGAACTTCGTAACAAACGAAAATCACGGCGACTGAATGCCAACGCCTCCCCCCTCCGTTTCGATGAGCTCTGTTGCCATGATCACCGAGCCTTGCAAGAGCGTGCTTTCCCGTGAGGCCTCAGTACTCTTTCTGTTCTGTTTTCTCCCCTTCGCCCTCTCTATTGTCAAAAAAAAAAAAAAAAAAAACAACAGTTTTTGCGGCAGCCGCGCTGCAACTCTATGATTGGAGGCGGAGTTCTCCTTGCCTGGTCCTCCTCCAGCGCCTCGAAGAGGCGCTTGTGGCCATAGCGGGAGGAGAAGCAGTTGGGTGAAGGGGAACGAAGGTGTAGGAATCTCAAGTGCGAAGGCTGCAGGCGCGAGGTATGGGGACGAGGGGATTCGCCTGGCGGGCGGGGGATGTGTGTGTGTGGGGGGGGGGGGGAGAGAGAGACGGGGAATAAGCGGCTGCCACCTGAGAAGGAGCGGCTGGCCGCGAGATGGAAAAGCAGCTTTCAGCGTCGCAACACCGTAGCGACGGGAGGGGAGCCGGGAATTGGAACGTTGCTCTGGCAACGGAACCGGGAACACATGTGGCGGGGATGGAAGTTCGTGCCCAGATTGGCGCCAAAAAAAGAGGGGGGGGCGCTGGCAAAGTTAACAGGGACGATCCCAGTTGTGGGTCAGTCAGCTGGCGGTCTTCATGGTTAGAAAGGATCAACGCGTAAAATATTATTAATGTGGTTGTATGTTTGTCATAGAAGCAGACTAGGCTGAGGGGAGCCCTGATTAACTGGAATCAGTTGGTGTTTATTGATTCTTTGAGGATCTGGTGATGGTGTTGGTGAAAGTTTTCATTAGGAGCAAGGAAACCAAGATTCTAGTCCTCTTTTAGCTTATGGAAACTCGAGGAAGGGGCGGTTGAGACCAATTGCTTTCAGCCCTAGTCAACCTCGCAGGGTTGCTATGTTGGGAGAATACTGTAGGTCTTTCTCAAAGGTGCTTTTCAGGAGGCAACTGGACTTTATTGTTTTTTATTTGAAGACGTTTCGCTTCTCATCCAAGAAACTTCTTCAGCTCTGACTGGATGGTGGACTGGACAGTGGATCCCCACCATCCAGTCGGAGCTGAAGAAGCTTCTTGGATGAGAAACGAAACGTCTTCAAAGAAAAAACAGGAAGTCCAGTTGCCTCTTGAAAAAGCACCTTTAGGACAACCATGACCTGGGTGACTGGGAATCTCCATAGTCATTGAGAATAGGTCTTGTCTTGCATGTAGATGTAAATGCATACTGAATAAAAATAGTAAATTGCTTCAGAAGAACAGTGCTCTGCAATTATTGAATGTAAGCTGGGTATATAGTCTCAGGAAAAAAAATATTGATCACCTTAGCCTATAGCAGTGATTCTCAACCTTTTTAATGCTGCGACCCCCAACCGGTCGTAAGTCGAGGACTACTAAACTAGTGCAGCACCGTTTGCAGAATGGGACTTTTGGCGGGCTCAGCAGGGCAGAGACAGCCTGGACAATTCCTATTGGCTTTTGAAAGCCAATAGAATTAGACTCTATTCAACAGCTAAGGAAAAGGGGGAAAAAATGGCGGACTGCGTTGTTTGGTGACCCCCGTGAAATGGTCGTTCGACCCCAAATGGGGTCCCGACCCACAGGTTGAGAACCACTGGCCTATAGAGCAGAAAAATAACATCCTGAGATTTGTTTATGTCTAATGAGCAGAATAAGAGCAGGGGCTTGCTACACAAATGATACTGAAGCACAAGATATTGAGATTCATTTATTAAAATGATAACATATATAACAAGCTTGTGGAGATATTCTTTGTGCTGTAATTGAAAGGGGGTGGTTTAAATCTGAGGTGATATTTTTAATCTGAGTTGGATTAGAACTCTAGCTGTTGGTGTTTTTAGAGCTATTCACTATCTTGGCAGAGATAGTATTTTTCAGGTAGATGTATATCTCTTTCCGAAACTATATATCTGTCTGTGCTTGTTTGATTCAGCTCTGAGTAACAACATTTTGCTTTCAAATACTGTTCCAAGATAGTAGTGGAAAATTTGCCCTGTTTCAACTTGATTTATTTCCTGGTATAATAAAGCAGAATTGCAGTAAGGTTTGCTGTAAACTTTACTGGCAGAAACTTGACTAATTGGGAATATAGGCATCAAATTGATCCTTGCTTCTTATGGCCAGAAATAGCAAAATCCTAGATAATTATAGAAGTAACTTTAATATTTTCTTACAAATATTAGAAAATTAATGTATTGAATTAAAGTCCAATCTGATTTAACTTTCTGTTTGGATAAATTCTTTTAAGATGTTATGAGCAGTGTACTAAGATAACAGCTATCTTTGGCTCAGTCATCTGTTATTTATAGGAATGCTGCCTCTGAATATGGAAGCTCCATGTTTCCATCCTCAAATATCATATATCATCTGATGCAGTAGAAGTAATTACATGTTTCTCAAGGCCCTTCTTTTAAATTTTCAAAAAGAAATTTATTTTCCATTATGTAGCTTGTTCCACAATCTGAAAAATTTATTTCGAGAGAAAATCTAAATACTGTACTTTTCCTTATCATTGGAAATTAATAATCTGATCTTACCCTGTGGAAGAAAAGAAATAAATTTGCCAGCCTTGTGGTATTTAGAGATAAATATCATGTCATCTCCTAGTTCTCTTTCCACACAGAACAATCTCTTTAACCTTTCCACAAGTAACTTAGCCGTAACAATTTATGTTACTCTGCACTGGACATGTTCCAATTTGTCAATATTCTGTTTAAAATTATAGTCTTCACAAATACATGCAGTACTCCAAGTAAAATTTAACCAAAGCAGAATTGAATGGAACCTTTTATTGGAACTGCACATTATAGGTGCTAAAGTTTAGTGTGTTCTATTAAATGGCCCAAATCTTTTTCACATCCTCTGCTGTCATGGAAGATGTCAGCCATCAGGGATTTATGCAATTGACTGTTTAAATATGGAACTCCCCTACCCGCTTTGAGTTGTTTTGCAGAACTATTTTCCTCCTTTATTCAGATTATCTATAAAGGTCAGTACTGCGCCTAGGCAGGACATTGTGTTATTCCATTTGTTACTTCTTTTCAGATTAGTGAGGAGCCATTGATGAATACACTTCATTGCTTCTTGATCTCCAGTTTTTTTGAGATCAGCCAAGGTGGGTGAAGTTTCTCAGAGCAGATACTTTAGCTTTATGCAAATTGCACACATCTTTTAGACTTCCACTATCTGCGCTTGATATTTACAGAATAAATTCCATAATGCTTTCATATTTATAGTTTGTTTGCTTTCAGCCCTGATTTTTTTTTTTATGGTAAGAGAGTGACAAAGAAGCTGAATTTAAGAATAGTCTTCGGCAAATAATAGTAAGTTATGGAGAATTGTATAGATGACTTGTCTGTTTCTTGTCCTTTGAAAATTCACTTAACCCCTTTCCAAGACCTTATATCAGAAGGTTTGGAATATCATTCCATTCTGCTACAATTCTTCTGAGAAGCTGAAGGTTCATCTTTAGATTATAGTAAGGAAGATGAAATTTTGGATGATTTATTCTGTTAGGATTATCTGATATTCTCTTTTAATCACAGCTCACATTGAATGGGATGAAACAAGTTCAGATTAAATCCTGTAAGAATTGAGCTGCTATATGCCAGTAAACATCTGTGCAATCTGATAACAGCAATAACTACTCTTGATAGGGTTGAGTTCTCCTAGAGAAGTTGATTGTGATCTGGTTGGACTTCTAGGTTTATAGCTTCACAAATAGCTGGTGAATGCTGTGTCCAGGAGGCCCTTTGCACAATTTTGATGTGCACCCCTTATAACTCAATGTGGACCAGGGTATTGACAGAACTTGATTATAGTTGGCTTACTATAGTGTGCTCCACATAGAGCAGTTTTGGCAATGACCCAGAAGCCACACCTGGACCAGAATATGAGGCATAAACAACTGGCAAGTCAACAAGGAGCAACACCCTCCTTGAAATTCCTGCATTGATTAACAGTAGGCTTCCAGATTCAACTCAGAAATACTGAGTATCACCTTCAAGGTCTTGGATGGCATACACCTGGATATACCATGGACCATTTTACCAGGACTGAATTTACACAGCTGGTTCAAATATTTTGGGAAAGCCTGCTGAGAGTCTCCACCTATGTGAGAAATAGAAAGCATTGTGGCCCCCATTGTTTTGCTTTCATTTCCTTAAGACGGGTAGGCAACCCAAAACACTCAACGAGCCACTTGGACCCGTTTCCCACCAAAAACAAAACATTGGGAGCTGCAAAACCCTTTTGATATCTAAAATGAAGATAACACTGCACATATCCTTTTTTACCTTTAATGTGTATGTATGTATGTGTGTATGTATGTATGTATGTATGTATGTATGTATATGTGTTTGTGTACATATAAAATAAAGGTTAAAAAAGGATATATGCAGTGTTATCTTCATTTTAGATGTCAAAAGGGTCTCTCGCTCTCTCCGATGTTCTGTTCACCTGGCAAGCTGGCTTCAAGCTGTCCTCCAACAAGCTCAGGGGTAGGCAACCTCAGCTCTTTTATGACTCATGGACTTCAACTCCCGTGAGTCCACTTTCTTTTACACACACACACACACACACACACACACACACACACACGAGAGAGAGAGAGAGACAGAGAAAGAGAGAGACAGAGAGAGAGAGACAAAGAGAGGCACTTGCACATCCCTGCTTCTCTCTCTGTCTCTCTCTGCAAATGACAGAGGAGGCTGGGAACCACAGGGGAAGGCTCAAAGAGCCGCATGCAGCTCCGGAGCCGCAGGTTGCTGACTGGTGCCCTAAGAGGTTCTTGCAGCATCTCCCTTCTTGGCATTTCATAGATAAAACAGTTTTGTTCCATTCTCCTTTTAATCCTAATACATGTTGATGAACATTCATTTTGGGGAGTTGATTACTTTTATGGTGCTGCTTTTTATATAATTGCTTTGTTATACAGGTAGCTCTTGTTTAGTGGCTGTCTTTGTAGTTTGTAGTTATGCTGGTAATGAAAAAGTAACTTTGACTAATATTCCCATATTTTCATTTATTTAATGACTGAATTGTCAGTTCTAGATGTAGTCACAAAAGAAGGACTACCAGTATATTGCCTAGAGTCTTCAGATTCGGATGTTTTACAAACATTGTAAATAAATATTGATTAACTTTATATATTTATAAAGTTGATAGTTTATTTTTATAACAAAAGTTAAAGAACTGCATTAAATTATATTTAATTTTTGCTTTTAAAATTCTAAATTAACAGCTTTCCTGATCCTCCAGATCATTCTTTGGCTATTGTGACAAAATGCCAGACATTCTCAAAATACATTCAAGGATTTGTACACACCTGGTTTGTTGGCCCAACTTTTGCCAATGTCCCATTTTTCCTGGTTAAGTGCTTTGGAAGCAGCAGGAAACAACTCAGCAGAATAATATGAATTCTCATTAGTACGCCAAATGGGTGCCATCCCAATCCCTATACCCATGCCTATTGGCCATACTGCATCAGTTTTATTATATTTGAAACTGGAAGGCACCGGATAATTTACTCTTGCTACTTTTGACATCATTTCTTAGTATTTACTATGTGATGTTACTGCAGTTATCTAACTTGTAGGTTTGCTGATTTGGCTTACAGAATGTATTTTCTTTAAAAATACATTTCCTTCCTAGCAGTTTAACAAGGGGTTTTGCAGTAAAGACAATAGTCTACTTGTCTAAATGGTAGGGTCTGGCCTCAATTCTTTGTTCAATTACCTGAGACTAAATATTTATTCCAGTGGAACTTTCTTTTGTGTAGAACAAATAGAATCATACCATAAATTATCTGTCAAAAGACTTGTCTCAATTGGGATTTCACAGAAAGTCCTCTCTGTAAGGACTTCTTTATTCAGTTATCTTCTGATCACAAAATGTGAGTCTGTGCAGCAGGGGAATTACTCCCTTGATGAGCACAGAGTCTGTGGCATTCTTTTAAATAAAATGGTCTCTAATTTCTTTCAGGGTTTGAATGTTAAAACCAGCACTTTGATCACATTTGTTAGACTGCCTGGCTTTCTCTTTTTCTTTGAGGCAGCTCTGAGTTCTATTGCTGCTATTATAGCCTCTCTGTTGCATATTACACTGAAACTGAGATTAGGGAAGTGATCAAAATCAGATTGCATGACTTCAGAGATATTGTAAATATTTAATAATTAAAATTTAAGGAAGGATAAACTAATTATACTGGTTAATTGCTGGATAAGTTACAGTTGAGTGACTAGTATTTCTTCATTGCTTACTGATGAAAAAAGTAATTACTTTTTTTTCAGTGAAGATGAACTCTTAGTAACAGTTGCAACTAAAAAGCATTTTCCATTCAGACTAGATTACTGACAAATAATGCTTGGGAAAAATAGGAGTAGATTTCTGCATAAAAGCATTTGTGGGAGGACCATAAATTTCTGTGCTGGCCATGTGCTCAATTGTATCTTCCCTCCATCTTCAGCATATGTATGACAAACAGTTATTTTGAGTACAGTTACAATTGGCAAAAAATAGTCAACTCTGCAGGAAAGGAAAGGTGAATGCTTCCCTATGTGATCAGAAAAGTGTTTGAAAATAAATTAGACCTTTGGCCTCTGATTTCAATTAAGAAAAGTAGGAAAGACTAGGAGAATTCGGTTTCAGGCAAAAACTGAACTGTTTCCATCTTTTCTATCACTTATGAACTGTTCTCAAATTGTTCATACTTCTATACTGTATTACTGCTTTCCATTAATATCTTCTTAAAACGTATTATTTAAACTCACGTTTTGTTACTGTATATCTTTCTTTACACACATAAATGTCATAACAATATTACACTAAAAGTGGGGAAGAAAAGATGCTTGCTATAGTTGTTGCAGGCACACAGAGGACACTGCAACAAATCAAATAACTATGATTCAGTTTTTGAAAAAGCACAGTGGACAACATCAGCTAAATTTTCTGGATAATTTTTAACGGGAACCACAATCTTAGTACATTACAGCAGTGTAACTTGACCAGGAAAGGTCCTTCTGAATTTATTCTGATAGTTGTGTACTTTTTATTTTCTCTGATAAAGAAATGTGGTATATAATGAGGATGCTGGACCAAGACTAGGTTCAAGTTTCCACTCAGGCATGGAAGTTCAGTGGAGGACTTTGGGCCACGTATTATCTTTCAACACAGCTTCTCTGTTAGGATCCCCGTTAGGGTAAAACGGGAGGAAAGAGTATTAATCTTACTGTTTTCAGATACAGGTAGTCCTTGACTTACAACAGTTCATTTAGTGACCGTTTGAAGTTACAACAGCACTGAAAAAAGTGACACATGACCATTTTTCATACTTATGACCGTTGCAGCATCCTCATAATCACATGATCAAAATTCAGCCACTTGGCAACTGACATGTTTATGACGGTTGCAGTGACCCAGGGTCATGTGATCTCCTTTTGCGACCTTCTGACCAGCAAAGTCAACGGGGAGGCCAGATTTGCTGAACGACTGTGTTACTAGCTGAACTGCAGTGATTCACTTAACATCCATGGCAAGAAAGGTTGTAAAATGGGGCAAAACTTCACTTCTCACTTAGCAACAGAAATTTCGGGCTCAGTTGTGGTTTTAAGTCAAGGATTCCCTGTACTAGAGGAAAGTGGAATATAAACCAAATAAATAAATCCAGACTTTAGCCTGCCTCTTTTATTTGCCCCTTTCACCTTTGCTCCATCCATATTATGTGGCCAGTTTGTCTGTCTCCCTGCGATCATCTTCTATTTATTTTAACTTTTTTTTTTTTACAATAAAATTACCCTAGCACAGTGGTTCTCAACCTTTTTATACCGGCGACCCCGGTCATAAGCACGCGGTGCGCCGCGCATGCACAGCGCGCTGCGCATGCGCGGTGCCGCCCCCTGCACCGGCTGAGGCATAGCCGGCAAGGGGTGGCGGCAGGCAGGCCCGGACGCTCCCGGGCGGCGGCGCAGGGCGACCACCAGCTGGGCCACCAGCTGGCCCAGCCCAAGGCAGGTAAGGCACCTGTCAGGCCCCACGCGCGCCAGCAACCCTCCCTGCACCCACCGGCCTCCCACCCCCAGCCTTCTTTTACTTACTTTTTAGTTGCTCAACAAGGAGGGAAGCTCTGCAGACTGTTCCCCTTGCAGCACCGTTTGCAGACTGGGGCTTTTGGCGGGCTCAGCAGGGCAGAGACAGCCCTGGACAATTCCTATTGGCTTTTGAAAGCCAATAGAATTAGACTGTGTTCAAGAGAGTCTATTCTATTGGCTTTCGAAAGCCAATAGAATAAGAGGGAGTAGCACAGCTAAGGAAAAAATGGCGGAAAAAATGGGGGACTGCGTTGTTTGGCGACCCCCGTGAAATGGTCGTTCGACCCCAAATGGGGTCGCGACCCACAGGTTGAGAACCGCTGCCCTAGCACCTTACATGAAGCTTAACCTTTTTCTTTTCTTTTCTGCAGAATGCACACAATTGGGGTTTGTACTGCTTCTCTTGGCTCACTGGGCCTCATGCGATTCTTCGGTGTGTCCTGGACATGGAGTATTGCCGTCACTTTGGGCATTTATATTGGCAGTGGTGGGTGGAACTTTCTCCGCATCATCTTTAAAACAGCCCTGAGAGATTTACTGTAAGTACAATGCCTTCTTATGATATCAGGATGGTTTGTTTTCACCAAAGATGTTTGTTGCCCCAGATAATGAATCTGTATAGCCTCAATCCTTTCATGGGACGAGGATGTGAATTCTCCCCTGATCAAGAGATCTGATAACTACTCTTTTGAAAGACTACTATAAATACTTTTTGGCTTTGTCTTCCCAACTATCCTCCCAAATGTGAATTTTTTTAAGTCATAGAAGTATAAATGGATGCTTATAGTAAATAGACTTTGCTAAGTAGAGGAAGGTGGGAATTATAGTATTCCAAGCTAATTGTTTTCCATTTATTAAGTCTTGTGTGTATAAAATAGGTAAGAAAACAGCTTGTGAAAGATTTACCTGTCTGTTCCAGAAGTCAAATACTATAATGTGCATATGTACCTTAAAGAGAAAAGCTCTTCTTGAGGGGATTCAAGACGGCTAGTTGTTGAAACACACATTTAAAGTGTATAAATAGTATTAATAAAATGCTGATCCCCAGACCATACCTATTGTGATCAGCTGTCTTGCATTTTTTTTTAAGGAAAAGCACTCATTGAAAGTTAAAGGGCAAGAGATGTTTAGGGCTGAATCTGTACATTATGTGAAGCCACAATTTGCATAGTCATGTTTTATTGAATAAAATATGGCTGGTATTAGCATATGCAATGTGCTAAATATGAATCAAATAAACCATATTATAGCTTAGTATGGTGATATGTGAGCCAGATTTTGTTTAAATCCACCATTCTCAATCTGCTTTCTTTCTGGGAGGGAAAACCATTTAAAAAAAAAAGATTAAGTAGACATTACCTGCTGTTTTTTCCTTTGGTTTTTCTGTAGCCTTGTGTACAGCTGAAGAATTTTGTAACTATTCATAATATGAAGTTTATGCTCAGCCAATAGCAGAGAATTCTTATTTATATGTTATAGAAAATGTATGCCTGTGTGAAGATGGGAGTGGATTTCACTTCTTGGCTATAATGTTTATCTAGGAAATGAAATCTATGTCTAAACTCTACGTGTAGTTAATTGATTTCTTACTATTTCTACACAGATGATTTTTTTTTTTAATTGGGGCTTCTCTTTCCTCATCTGACTAAGCTCCCGATTAGGACATTCATAGTGAGGAGGGATAGATGAGTTTTAAGAGGCCATTTATGTCTACTAATGTTTGGTCCTCTGTGAAATTTTCCCAATATCTTTCCTATGTCTAACACTTTGCTTTCCTGTTGCTCTGTAACTGAATCTGGCATCTAGTTTTTTGCATGTCCCCTTAGGATCTTTTTCTTGTTAAAAGGATTTAGGGCTGTTGCTCTTACAAAGGCTGTTATAGTGACTGTCAGTGCCCTCTGGATCTCTACTTCCTCCCAGTTGCATGGCAAGTGAGAAATAACAGCAGAGAATAAAGCGCCTCTTAAGAATATGGAAAGGGCAATTCATGCCTGAAAAGGCTCCTCTGTTTCCTTCCTGGCACAGCTTGGGTCACTATGATAGGCCAGCTTTGCTGGGCAAAATGCCAAGAGCCTATTACTAAACCAGCCTCTCTTTCCTCATCTGCCTAAGCTCCTGATTAGGGCATTCACAGTGAGGAGGGATAGATGAGTTTTTAAGAGGTCATTTATCTCTGCTACTGCTTGGTCCTCTGTGGAATCTTCTATGTTCTTCTTTAACCAATCATAAAAGTATACCTTCCATTATTACTCCGCTTTTGAGGAAAATAAATGTGCTAAGTGCAGTACAGCTAGTCATTGTCTTGACCTCTTGACCGTTTTCGTGATATTTTTCTCAACCCTGAAAATATAGCTTTTGAATTGATTGCACCATCTTCTCATTCTGATCTATCTTTCACATCGATCAAAACAAATATAAAATGTGGACAGGCAGGTAAGATTTTCTGTGAAGTGTTAACTGGGAATTACACAAATGCGATAATTGTGATCAAGGAATATCATCATAAGGTATACTTAAATATATTTAAATATATCAAGGAATGTGGACAGAGTCAGACTGCTTGATGTTTAGAAGTGGATATTGCATTGGTTGTAATATGCTTTGCCTCCATTTGTTCAAAGTTATACCATATGTCTGTTTCAGCCCCATGGGAATGTCTAAAATGACCTTATAACAAATGAGTCATGGTCCACTTGATAAAGAATTGCCTTCTCTGACAAATCACAGTTCCACAACTTCTGGATCACAGGCTTTACCCAGTCATGCTTTACAAAGGATTAAACCTGAGACCTTACTCAATTTGGGATGAAGGATATTCTGAATTAATTTCCTCTATTATATTTCATATCTTTTGTTTGATTAGTAAATAGAGATATAGATGTACATGAGAGGGAACAGAGCTAAATGAGATTGGCTGGAACAAGCAGAAAAAAATGTGGCCAATAATATCTCCTAGTTACTGAGTTTTCTACATGTAGCATTTGCAATGGCAAGTAGAGGTCATAGTTTAGCTGGCAATCAAAATAATTGGTTGGAAACATTTTCCAAAAAGTCTAACTTTATTGTTGCAGATGAATATTTTTTTAAAAAAAGTAAACAAACTCAGATGCCTTCTTTATATAACTTATTTCACATACACTTTTGTTGCATTCCTTGTTCTCACACTTTTTTTGAGTTACGTTTTCTTTGTATCGCTGAAGCTGTTCATTGTTGAAAATAGTCTTGAATGTGAGGCTTCCAACACTGAATTTAGACTGAAGTGTTTCTCTTTTTTTTCATTCCTTGGTTTTATATGTCAATAACTCTGAATAGTAGTTATGAGCAGGAAAGAGACAAGCTGTGGAGTGTGTTCTTAGTGTAAGAACTGTTTAATTACTGTCCTCGGTTGTGTGCAGAGTTATATAAACTGAGCTAAATCTGAGTACTCATACATGTTTATGCCACATATATTGATAGTAGTTCCAGTGGCAGTATTTAGAAATTAAATTCCTTTAGATGTTTATAAGTATATAAATAGAGCATAGTGAATGCAGAAATGTTTCTCTAAATACACAGCGTAGCTGCTGTCTGTGCTTAGCCATCTCCCTCTCCCCAAATAATAAGGTCTGGAGGGTTCCTTCCGCTGGGACCGCCGGCTTCTGGCTGTGTGGCTGCCTCCCTCTGGAGCTGTCTTCCCCCCCCCCCGGGCCATGCGCCACCGTCGTGTTCTCTTTGCAAAGGAACGCAAAAGGTTTCGGGATTTCGCTCACCCGCCTGCCCGGGTGGAGACCAGAGTTGGCGGCTCTAACGTCCTACTATTGTTGGCTACAATCCTATCCACCTATTTTGTCCAACTGATTGCAAGACGCTGGGCAGCACGAACTAAGCGGCAGCAGGAGGGACGCAGAGCATTGGCTTGTTGCTTATCAAACCGTGCTCAGTTCGTGCTGCCCAGTGTCTTGTTCTGCCGCCGCTCAGGCCCCTTTTTCGCCACTGGAAACATGCTGCATTAGCTGGCATCACAGGGGGTGGTCCCATGGCAATGCTGATAGTCCGGGCTGTGCGCTACTGGTGTCTCCGATCCCGAACCGTGAGCCGTAGGAAATATCCGGGCCCAAGTTGTCTGCTGCAAGGACGCCACAGCAGTGCCGTCAAACCGCTTTCTATGCTGCTGGCATACCTGGGCTGGAGCAGTGAAAGCCGATCCAGCTGGTCGTTCTGGTGCGGAACCGGGCCGCGGAGGCCAAGCCTTACTCACTGGCAATGCTGGAGCTTTCCATACCAACTGGTAGGTCTTCTGTGCCGCTCTGTTCGGACCGCCGGCTTCTTGCTGCAGGCTGTATCCCTCTGGAGCTATCTCCCCCCCCCCCCGTCTATGTCGAGCCTATGGCGAACAGCGTCCCACAAACCAAAAAAGTTGAACCAATCAATTCAAACGTCTTTTGTGAGAAGTTTGAATTGATTGGTTTAACTTTTTTAGTCCTTTTTTTTTTTGGCACTGCACGTGGCTGGGAGCTGCATGGAGCTCCGGAGCCGCGGGTTGCCGACCCGTGTCCTATACCATTCCAGACAAGTGGTGATCCAGTCTCTTCTTAAAAACCTCCAGTGGTGGACCACCCACAACTTTCAGAGACAAGCTGTTCCACTGATTAATTGCTCTATCAAGAAATTTCTGCTTAATTCTAGGTTGGCTCTCTCGTTGACGATCTTCCACCATTACTTTTTGACTTGCCCTCAAGCGCTTTGGAGAACAAGTTGACTGCCTCTTTTCTGTGGCAGCCTCTCAAGCAGGCTGAAAAAATTGCTTTCATATCACCCCCAGTCCTTCTCTTTTTTAGATTAGACATACTTATTTCTTTCAGTTGTTGATTATGTTTTAGCCTCCAGACCCCTTATCATCTTCGTTGCTCTTCTTGGACTCTTTCCTGGAGTCTCAATATCTTTTATACTGTGGTGACCAGAATTGGACACAGTGTTTCAAGTGTGGTCTTACCACTGCATTGTAAAGCAACAATCTTGAAACTATCCCTCTGTTGATGCAACCTACTGTAGGACTCCATTAGCTCTCTTGGCAGTTGCAGCATGCTGCTGGCTCATACTTAAGTGATTGTCTACTAGCACACGTACCGTAGATCTCTCTCACAGTTGCTGCTATTGAGCCAGATGCCACCTATATTTGTGCATTTGTTTTTTCTTGCCTATGTATAAGGCCTTACTTTTCTCACCACTAAATTGCATTTTGTTGGATAGGGCCCAGTGCTCACTCTGTCAAGGTGCTTCTGAATTTTGAGTCTATCATCTACAGTGTTAGCTATTCCCCTCAGCTTGGTGTCATCTGCAAATTTGATGAGTTATCTAGATCATTTATGAAGATATTGAAGAATACTGTGCCTAAGACAGAACCTTGGGGTACCCTACTGCATGCTTCCCTCCATGTAAATGTAGTTCCACTGAAGACTACCCCCTAAGTCAGTGTTTCCCAAACTTGACAATTTTAAGGCATGAGGACTTCAACTCCCAGAATTCCACAGCCAGCGTTGCTGGCTGTGGAATTCTGGGAGTTGAAGTCCACATGCCTTAAAATTGTCAAGTTTGGGAAACACTGCCCTAAGTGAGGGTGGTCAGCCATTTCTGAATCCATCTAGTGGTGATAGGCTCTATCCCACATTGTTCTGTCTTACCAAGAAGTAGCTGTTGTGGTTTTTCTATCTGGTCTGGGAACCAGAAAGTGGTCTGAAGCCCATAATAGGATTGTATGGCTCTTGAATTACCATAGGGTCCCCTAGTGATTGTATTATATGCTTTTCATTGTTTTTATTGTTTTAACATTTTGTATTGATGGCATATTTGTTTTATTACTTGTTTTTTTGGGTATTGTTTATGTTTTAATTGGAAGCTGCCCAGAGTCACAAATGTGAAACAAATGGTTATATACTATAAACTGAAACAATCAAACCTGTTGTAGCTGTCTCCCATGCACCAATTTGTAGGGTGCTACCTTCCTAATTGTGAAAGTATTCTGTTTCATCGCAGGACAGATTTTCCCAGCTACCAAGCAATTAGCATTCTTTTAATACTTGACTTCATTAGGAAATATTTTCAAAACGCAGTGATGAATCCATCCATTCAGAAATGAGCTTGATTTAATTTTAGGAATGTGAGTTTTGCATCACATTTTGAGCATTTTGATTTCCTTTCTTCCCTAGTTCTTCCCTAGTTTTTAGTCCTTTAAAGTGCCACAATATATTTGAAACTGCGTAATAATAGATGACCAAATCAGTGTTTATATGGGTTGCTGAGCTTTTTTTCCCCTGATTAAGTAAAATAAAATTTGAATAAATAGAGTAAAGCAAGAATTCTGCAACTTTACCTAAAATGTATTCTTTTGGGGAATTGCTTGGATACAGCATTGTAATAGCTTTGGCCTGAATATGATTGTAGGCCAGATACATGAGGTATTAATTATATAAAATCGGATTCTTTGTCAGGATGGCTGAGGAGCTGACCAAGCAGATGTCTCATGCATTGCATGTATGCCTCAAACAATTAAAACCACTATGGTATAATAATTAATACTTCCTTATCCCTTTTTCAGAGGACTCTCGGTGCTTTTGCGAGTCAAATATGAACTGTACCATCACAGGAAAGCCAAAAATAATATTCCCAAGATATTCCAGAAAGTGGTCTGGAAGCATCCAGACAAAGTGGCCTTGATTTATGAAGCTACTGATGACAGGTGGACATTCCAGCAACTGGATGAATATTCCAACTGTGTGGCCAACTTCTTTTACCAGCAGGGCTTTCGTGAGGGTGATGTAATTGCTATCTTCATGGAGAACCGACCAGAATTTGTAGGCCTCTGGTTGGGGATGGCCAAAGTGGGTATTGAGGCAGCTCTCATCAACTTCAACTTGCGCCTTGACTCATTGACTTACTGTGTGAAAACCTCAGAAGCAAAAGCCATCATCTTTGGTGGGGAGCTATCAGAAGGTATGATATATATGTATAGATTTGGGTTTGATTTCCTAACCTCCGCTATTTTCATTCTTGTCTTGAAACTATATAGTCTGGTGAGGAGAAAATGAATTTCTTTAGAGAAAATGCCTGCTTGCCAAAGTGAATGACCTCTTTGCACTTGTCATTAGATTGAATTGGGGATGTCTGTGGAGATTCTCAATCCTCCCAGTCATGGTTCCAACTCAAGTTAGAACTGAAGAAGGTTCTTGGATGAGAGGTGACATGTTTTCAAAGAAAAAACATGGAAAAAAGCGTCTTTGGGATTGACTTGGTTAATCAATCATGAAATATTCATTTCAAGAAATGCTGACATGCTCAGTGTTACAAGAGAAGAAAGGGGAGAAATTCTACATTATTTGTGTGAATATTACTCATAATGAAGCAAGATTGTTGCTTGCTAAGATCTTGGACAACAGTTTCCATTCTACTTCCCAGAATACAGTCCAGTCAGCACAGAGGAGGTATGTGTGTGTGTGTGTGCTTCAACTCAGCCTTGAATCCTGGCAACTGCCTGGACAAGTCCCAGAAGGTTTTTTTTTGCATTGTTTCAAAAGTGGTGAGTCCTTTCTAAGGCTGAGTGAGACTGACTGGCTGACCCAAGGTCCCCTCAGCTGACTTTGTGTGTAAGGTAAGACTAGAACTCAGTGTCTCCAAATTAATAAACAATACCTTAAGCAATAAGCCAGACTGCCTCTCCCAGCATAGATAAATATTCTGTATTATTAATATACTTATTTGCAAGGAAGATTTTCATTCAAGGTAGGGAGAAGTTACCAGATGCCCTTTGTTATAGATTTGAGGAATATATATTTCCTTTTTATAAGTAGTAATTAACATGTCATTTAGACAGATGATTCTCCAAATCTGTGGCTTGCTTCTATGAAATAGGATAGGGTGTCCTTTTCCAAAGGTTTCCTTTATGTTAATTAAAAAAAACAGGTCGATACGTAGTTTGTTGTATGGCACTTGAATAAGATGACTTATTCATCATCTTATTACCAGGCCAGACAAAATAATTAAATCAGTGCTGCTTTCTCATTCAGTAAAGTTATCACAAAAAAAATCAGGTTTTTTTAAATGCTATAAAAGATCTGCCTTTAAAAATGAAACATATGCTAGCTAACCTAAACCTTTGAGGATACTGTTATAAAACCTAGCTTATAAGGGGGTTCTCTGAGATTCTATAGCAAGGTTGGGCCTCTTCTCTTTCTCCAAGGAGAGATTTTAAAACTTTAGGAAGGGAAATTCAAACTTTTTGATTTGCTATATCAGATATATTATTTTTTGAACAATAACAAAAGATAGGGGGAAGACTAGCACAGAAATAAAAGCAGCAAACATGGGGGGGGGAAACATTGCCATGTTAATCCCTGGGAGAAAAAATGATTAGAGAAAAAGATAATGCGAGCAGTCCTTGATTTACAATTAGTTGTTGTATGACTGAAGTAATGACAGCTACAGAATGTAAAGCATCCCCAGATCTTCTAAATATTCATGCTCCTCCCAGTAGTCATGTGGGTCAGCTTTAGGACCAGTTGTGGTGTGCCAGTTTCCAGCATCTTTTTCCAGTTTCTAGCAAAAAATGTCCTTTAAAGTGAATGGGTTTGCTTAACAACCCTGGCTTTTGCTTAATGACCACTATGAAAAAGGCCAAAACCCCCCAGACTTTTGATTATGTGGGCAACTCAACTTATAATTGTTTCCAGTGCCAATTAACACAAGGACTACTTATAAAATGAGGCCATATATTTGACTTTCAACTATGACAAAAGAATGGGAACTAATGAAAGAAATACAATTTCCTTTGTCTCTGAGCGCGAAGTATATCTTGCTTCCAAAGACATCTTCCACAAAGCCTTCAGTACATAAATTCACTTTCTGTTAAATTTGGACTGTAGTCCTCTGGGCTGCGTGCTTTTTGGAATAAATGGATTTAGGAAGAATATAAAACCCTCAAAACAGTCTCTTTCCACATGAACCAGTAGGGGACTTTAGACTCTTTATAACAGTTGTGTGTTCCCCTGCATGGCTTGAAAGAGTAGTAATTAAAACAGAACTATAACATTTAATTAGGCAATCTTGTATATAGGTAGTCCTTAACTTATGATCACAACTGAGTCCAGAATTTATGTTGTTACATGAGACATTTGTTAAGTGACTGTCATCCCATTTTACGACTTTTCTTGCCACATTGGTTAAGTGAACCACTGCAGTTGTTAAATTAGTGACACCGTCGTTAAGCGAGTCTGGCTTCCCTATTGACTTTGCTTGTCTGAATGTTGCAAAGGGTGATCACATGATCCCAGGACACTGGAACCATCATAAATCTGAATCAGTTATCAAGCATCCAAATGTAAATCACGTGACCCTGGATGGTCAAGTCACTTTTTTTAGTGCCGTTGTAACTTCAAACGGTCACTTTGTGGACTGTTGTAAGTCGAGGACTACCTGGAATATTAACCACATGAAGAACTGTGATGTTAATCTGCATGTGGAAAAACAGAAATAGTTGCAAATTTTGTTTTTCAAAAACAGACAATTCGAATCCACTCTGGAAAAGAGTAGCAAAAATACCCCAATTTTAAAAAGACAAAACTTTTCGTAATAATAATAATAATAATGATGATGATGATGATGATGATGATAATAATAAATAATGTTGGAAGGGATCTTGGAGGTCATCTAGTCCAGAGGTCTCCAACCTTTTGGGCACCAGGGACCAGTTCTGTGGAGAGAGATTTTTCTGCGGACTGGAGTGTGTGGTTTTGTGTGCTGCCTGCATCCTGCAGATGGGGCTTTGTTTGTTTGTGCGGACCGGTTGCTGGCATGCCATGGCCCAGTACTGGTCCATGGACCGGGGATTGCGGACGCCTGATCTAGTCCAATCCTCTGTTCAGGCAGGAAACTCTATACCATTTAAGACAAATGGCTGTATGACTGAAATGGCTGCCTCTTCTTAAAAACTTCCAGGGTTGGATATGGTAGCGTTTGACATGATGGTAAGATATTGCAAGACAGGATATAATCTATGAGCAATCATCATCATTTGAATACTGTTATTTTTTTTCCTTATGATTATGGAAATGGGCACCATCTATTTTGCATTTTTAATAAAAAGGGCTGGTTTTATGTTGCAGCAATCTCTGAAGTGAACGGCATCCTGGGGAAAAATATGACTAGGTTCTGTTCTGGAGATTTTGTACCTGAATCCTGTCCTCCAGATACTAAGCACTTGGACCCTCTGCTGGCACAGACATCGAAATCTCCTCCAACTCATGTTTCAACCAAGGGATTAGATGGTATGTTTCCTTGCAATCAGCCTTCTGATGAAGAGAGAAAGAGCCTAGGGTGTTGGCAGTTCCTGCCCCACCCCCCCCACCCCCCACCCCTTCCTGGTGAGGTGTGATGCAGGGAGAGTTTTATGTGACCTTTCCTCTATATTCATGTTACTAGTTGTCCTGGCCTAGTTCCAAAGAGAAGTGGAGGCAAAAAAATTTACACCTTTAGGGCTGTGTACTTGGTTCAGATGAGTAAAACAGGTTCTGACAACCCAGGCTGTGAATTATTTTCGGGGAGATAGCCTAACCTCCTTGCTTTTGGGTCTGTGCTCTGCATTTGAAGCAGCCGTCTCCTTGAGATGGGTAACTTGTTAAGTAGAAATAACAAAGAGAAACTGATCTCAAACTCATCCCTCGCTGCTGTGCTGTCTTTCCAGATCGGCTGTTCTACATTTATACCTCTGGAACAACTGGAATGCCAAAAGCTGCCATTGTGGTGCACAGTAGGTGAGTACCTGACCTTGGTAGTTACCTGCCAATATTTAATATTTTTATTTCTGGAGGTTTTTTATTATGTGGATAAATGAAGGAGGCTTTGGGATGTGGATACTTCTCCTATAGAAGAAAGATTTGTGTGCGTGCACACATGCACACACACATGCACACTCCTCCAAATGCCCCTGGTATTATCATTTTGTTTCTATGGAGTGTAAGGAAAATGGAAGCCTTGGTGGAAGTATGCAAGGACTATTATGTAAGCAAGAGGATTTGAAAGAAGCTAATATTTGGAAATGGCTCAAGAAGTCTTAGAACTCTTGACCTCATATGTGATCAGACAATGTAGCAATTAGAGCATTAGATTATTTCTGATTCAAATCTCCACTTAGTTATTATAATTATAACTCCCCACTATTATTAACTCCCTACTATAACTCATTGGAAGTATAGCTGCTTCTTAGTCCAACTTTTTCACAGGTTTTTAAGTTGATAGAACAAGTGGCAAGGATTATACATTCAGCAATATTCAACAATAATTTTAAAGGAACATTTCAAACCTCACATAAGCATGAGCACATCACCTCTATGCTATTCATTAATGCTGCAGCTTCCCCCCCCCCCCCCGGGCTTCTGCATAGACTTAAAAAAAAATAGTGTGGTTACTTTGAGAGTCATAATAATGATCACTCTCAAAATTTCTCCAAGACCCTAAAAAAGAAGGATCAGCTTTAATGAATAGTAGAGATGCTATGTTCACACGGAATCTAATTTTCCTAATCATTTCTGAAACATGCATCGCACTAATATGCAGCCATGAGCTCCTGAAGGAAATATATATATATAAATGTAAAAAAATTGTTCACTCATAGTGGAGGGCACTGGAGGATACAGGGTAAAGCTGCAGTTGCACTGTAAAAGTACAACTGCAACTTTCTTGGGAAAGAGGCTTGATAGCGTTTGTTCTGTTTACAAGATCTGGTTCGGCTCTGTATTTCTTTACACAGAGAGAAACAGATAAGGGCTAATTGAACAAACAATAGCAAAGGAAATAGATGAAGAGTTAAAATGACAAAGAGAAGATTTAACTAAATAATAATTTAAGAGTTATTCATAAAGAAAGAGTTCTTTAAAACAACCTTTCCCCTCTATTCTGCAAAATCAGTTTGGATGACTTGAGAGCTAAAATAATCTTCTCATCGTCTTTGTGTAATTGAGTTGAGCGTACAGGTATTCTCAGTTAACAACCAATCATTTAGCAACCTTCCCTGCCAACTTCCCACAAGCAAAATCAATGGGAAAGCTAGTGAGGAAGGTCACAAGTCATTCTCCTAAGTCACGGGTGTCAAAATTCGCAACGTCACGTGACGTGTCGCAACGTATCACGACTCTTTTTGCATTGCCGACAATGGGGTGGGCGTGGCATCGGTATGACAAAACCGGCTCGCAGGTCGGCAGTTTGACACCCCTGTCCTAAGTCATTCCCGTTCCCATCACTTTCTCCAGCATGACGAATGGAGAATCCACAGATGGGTTGATCTTGCCTTTCGGCCCTAGAGACTAAGTCAATTAACCTTTGCCACGCCTCTCTTCCTCAGGCTAGGAATCCCCAGTCATGACTTAGTCTTAGCCCAAGAGAGACGTGGTGAAGATTGGCTCTTGGTCTCTAGCAGAAAGGCTAAACGGTGATCCATCAGATTGCACCTTTCCCTTCCCTTCCATTTCCCTTCTCTGCGCTGATCTCAGCGCTGACACCCCTGTCCTAAGTCATTCCTGTTCCCATCACTTTTTCTCCCAGGAGGAGCCCCCAGGTAGTAGGTTGAGTGTGAGCCCTGGGTGGGCAGGTAACCATTTGCCCAGCCACATTTGTACTGTGCTGCCTGACCCCTGGCCTTGCAGCACATGCTGCAGCAGAGGATCCCCCTCCTCAATCCTGCAGCACTCCGTAACCTTCATGGGCCCCCCGTTGGCCTGCTTGTGAGCCCCTTAAAGGAAGGCTTGTTGTTGCCTAAGGCTTGCAGCTTCCTACCTGGTCCCTCATTGACTGCTTGTTGGAAACTGGCAGGAATTCACAAGTCCCAGTCAGGTGAGGTCCTCACTTAATGGCCCACAATCCTTATGATGACAAGACAACTTCCAAGATTTGCCACTGCTTAAGCGATGAAGTCACATGATATCAATCTTTATGGCTGCATCACTTTAACAATGTAAATTCCAGACTTAGTTGCTGTTGTTAAGTGAGGACCTACAGTTTCTCCTGTATATCTTCCCAAGATGTATCCAGTATAGGTGCCAGCTGACCACACTGAGCACTGTTGTACTGCATTCCAGTACTTGTATCACTGGTTTTCTGCAAGATGAAACTGTCCTTTGATCCTAGAAGAATTTTCACAAATCTTGTGTGTTATCTAGTACCAATTAAGTGCAACTCTATTGATACCTATTTTTTCTTTTATTGCAGATATTACCGAATTTCTGCTTTTGGTTATTACGCTTACAGAGTGACCCAAGATGACATAATCTATAACTGTCTACCACTGTACCACTCAGCAGGTAGGCTGGCATTATGGCTGCATGTTTTAGGATGGAGGTTGGCTTGGGCATTACCAGGGGGCACTCTGCTAATGTTCCCCAGAGTTCCTGGCAAGCATGTCTCTGCAAATTGTCTCTGCTGAGTCTCTCTCTTTCTGTCTCTTAGGGAACATCATGGGTATCGGCCAGTGTGTGGTTCATGGTCTGACGGTAGTGATTAAGAAGAAATTTTCTGCCAGTCGCTTCTGGGATGACTGTGTGAAATACAAGTGTACAGTAAGGAGATCTCTGAACTCTTGCTTGTAGGCACCACAGTTAATAAGTGGGAGCAATGCAACTTTGGGGAAGGCTGCTTGGCAAGACAGTTACACATTAAAAAGAAAAATAAAGAACCAAGAAAAGGCAACGGTAATGGGATGTGGGCAAACTGAGAAATTACCTTGCTTAAGATATACTGGTGTAGTTTTTCATAGCTGGCATCAATGAAGCAGTCATGTGCTTTCAGGCTGAATGGCTGTAAACTAGTTTTCTTTTGTCCTGATCAGCCACAGGTGCTGGCAAAATGTCAAGGCAAAAGAAAAGTAGACCATGGCTGTTCAGTTGGAAAGTTCATCACTGCCTTATAATATCTCACTTACAGTTCAACGTAATACTTTAATAGGTTACTCCCAAAACTTTTTTGTCCAGCTTCTAGCCAATTGGTGTCTCAACCAGATTCAGAAAAGCTAGAAGCAATAGCAACCGTGGAAGGGTAATCACTAGTCAGTCTTTGAATCGCTGCTATTAGGAAGCTTTCTTGCTTAGATAATGGCAGGAAGTGGAGTTGAGGCATAACCAGAAGTCATTCATTGTAAATGCTACTAAACTTTTGCATTAAATGCAGCTACCACAGAAACAAATTAATGGGCATGGACACTGGCAGAGTTAAAGGTCCAGAATCTCAGGAGCAGATCAACAGGCCTCTCAGATGCCATCAATTTCACAGCATCGAGAAATAACCTCTTCATTTTCTGGAGTGAACCTAGTTTCATCTGCTTTTCCGGGCTATATGTCATGAAGCTTTTGTTGTTGCTGTAGTTTGGGTAGCATACTTTACTCTGCAGACCTACTGGGAACTTACTTTTTTTTTTTTTTTTGCAAAAGAAGGTTCCAATAGGAAATCCCTTGATTTACTGGCCATCCTTTCATAAGTGTGGCCGTTTTGGATAACACAAGCTTAAAAATTGAAAAAGTCAAATCTGCTTCCTCTCAGTATCTTGCATGCCACCCTTTGAGGCACCAAACTGACGTTGCCTTTCCTGTGCTTTGAGGTTTGAAACAAGGAGTAACCTCTATTCTAGTACTTTAATCCTTTATTTACTCTTTATTTAATCTTTAATTACTCTGTGAATAGCCAAATTTAAACATGCTTTTTTGGACAACAACCCAGTAAACAAAAAAAGCTTATATTAAAAGAGTGGCTGTTCTTGAGCAATTTGCTTTGTTTGATGTGTTGTTAAAAGATTGCCCTTAAGTAAGAAGCAGGAAACATTTCTTGCAGTTTAGAAAAGTTAGGATTCTTTCACATGTTGGAATCCAACACTGTTATGGTTGATTGTAGTAAACAGGGTTAATAATACTTTTTATTGTTCAATTAACTTGTGTGATTTATTTAGTTGCCCATCCTCTATAGCAGTGGTTCCCAACCTTTTCTATACCCCTCACCCCTAGAACGCTCCTGATATATTCTTGCACCGCTTACAAAAGTTCAAAATAACGGCAACAAATTATGCATATACACTATAATTTTGAAAACCCAAGTTTTTGCACCCCCTGGAATATCGTCTCGCACCCCCAGGGGGTACAGGCACTCTTGGTTGGGAACCCCTGCTCTATAGCATAACCCTTAACATTTCACTGTAGTAATAAAATAGTAAAAACATAAAAAGCATTTTTAAAAGTCTTCTTGGCATTCACATCAGCTTGTAATTATGTTGTGATTTTTGAATGGAGTATGCAAACATTTATACATTCACATGAACATTAGCAGTACCATTTTTTTTATGATTCCATGGTCAACCATGTTATCTTTCATTAGTTATCTATGTATGAAGAGAAATTTAGTTTGGAAAATGTTTAAATAATACATAGTTGTATCGACAAATTCTGTCTCAGAAAAAGCATGCTTTCCTATTTCTAAAACAGTGGTTTCAATCTACGAGTTGCAACTATTTCAGTAATACTTTTTAAACAGACTGCTGGTTTTTGATTAATCACATTTAAAATATTTCTAAGTATTCTAATTATATAAACAAATCAGCTTTAGAAACAAAACAGAACTATTGGCATTTTGCAAACGTCAATTCCTTTTTCATTTTAAGCCAAAAAAAAACCTCCTTAAGCAAATTGGATAAAGATGCAGTGTACCTTGAATAAGTTGCATTATTATCCAATTTCCTCAGGACTTTGCAAGGTTACTCTTTCAAATTGTGTTTTTTTTTCTTTCTTTCTTTCTTTCTTTCTTTCTTTCTTTCTTTCTTTCTTTCTTTCTTTCTTTCTTTCTTTCTTTCTTTCTTTCTTTCTTTTCAAAGATCATCCAATATATCGGGGAGATTTGCAGATACCTGCTGAACCAACCAGTGCGGGAGGCAGAAAGGCAGCACCAGGTGCGGCTAGCTATTGGAAACGGCTTGAGGCTCACCATTTGGGAAGACTTCACACAGCGCTTCCGAATCAAACAGATTGGAGAATTCTATGGGGCTACTGAGTGTAACTGTAGCATTGCTAATGTAGATGGAAAGGTAAATTGAGACATTGACTTTCTATACTTCGGATAATTTTTTTTTTTAATCAAGCTCTACAGGCAAGGATGGGGCAACGTTTGCAAAATCTGTAGCATGTGGGCTTTCTCAGCTTCACTTTTGCAGCCTGGGAATGGGCCATTTTTTGCATAGCTGCCCATCTGCAGTGAGGGAATGTACCCTTTAAGACCACTTGGCTGGATGTCAGATGCTACAGTGCGGTGACTATATGAAGGGAGACAGCTGGGTTTTTACAGTCACTGAAGAAGTGATTGGATTAGTAGGATAATCCCTTCACAGAGAAGGTCACTATTACTGTAGATATGACAACTATTTGTTGACTCTTGGCAGGTTCAGTTACTACCCTGAAGCAGTTACTACTGCTTGTTACCAGTTGCTAATAGCATTCTCTCTTCAGTGCTGTGGGCTTTTATCAATGTTTGTTTAATGTACAGACTGCAAAAACTGGAGTTGCAGTAACATGTTGCAATATATTCTATTCCTTAAGAGGAATGTTCCTGATTAGAAGTCTAGGAACCATGGAGATCTTTTTTTTTTCTTTTTCTCATGCCGGACCTCAAGTCTTTCTTGTCCTGTGCTATGTAACACTAGAGATTTTAGCCTGCAGGTTTATTGATACATAGAAAATGGAAAACATTTTGTCTTTCCCCAAATCCCCATATAATACAAGGAGGAGAAAACTTCACTTTTTTGAATACTGCTCTCCTTCAAATTTACATCCCATTCCTGGATTTTAAATACAAATTACCAAGAACCTGAGCAGGCTAACATGGGACCCCAATGAGGGCATCCCATTCTGGAGGTGGCTGGTAGATTAGATGGAGATTCCACTTCCACCCGTTTTGTACATTGGTTCTTTTTATCTACTTTGTTGTTAATTTTAATGCTCAGTGTTTTAATATTTTCAACCTTCTAATTGTATCATTTAAGATGTTCAATAGTGAGATGGGTAGCATATAAATTTAATAAATTAATGAATATACTGCCCATCTCACTATTGAGCATCTTTGTGGTTTGCAGCATCATAAAAACAAAGGCACAAAATACTAAAACATTCAATATTAAAATGAACAGAGATGAAATGTTAAAAAATAAAACAGTACTACTAGATGGAGGCATAATCTTTTGCTAACACACCTCCAACATGGAATGTCCCCATCAGAGCCACAGGCCAATTGGTAGAGCCAGGTTTTGAGGCTCTTGCAGAAGGCCAAGAGGGTAGGAGCAGATCTCACCACAAGGGACCTGAGGTTCCAGAAGACAGGAACCATGGCAGAAAAGATCCTTCTCCTGCACCCTGCAGGCCAGAATTCCTTGGGGTCTGCAGGATGCCCTTTCCTGCCAGCGCAAGTGGAATGGGCCAGTCCCAATGTTCTTGTTTGCTTGGTCCCCTCAAGTCACATCTCACCATTTTGTAGAGCTTGGAAATTCACAGAATATTTTCCTAGTAAATAATAACCTCCTTAGAGAAATGTATGCAGCTTTTGGAGGCCTCCTTTGCTTTTAATTTTTTTATTCTTGACAGGTGGGAGCCTGTGGCTTCCATAGCCGGATTTTGCCAAATGTATATCCTATCCGCTTGGTGAAAGTTAATGAGGATACCATGGAGCTAATACGTGGCACAAACGGACTTTGTATCTCCTGTCAACCAGGTAAGTAAGTCTGAAAATGCTTTATGCCTTAATTGTGACTTGAAGAATAGAGGTTCCTACACAATGCCAATTGTCGAGGAGTATCGATGGTCTGGATATTGTTTATTATTATTGTGCCCAAATTAATCAAGGGCAGGAGAATTTACAGGACCGGAGAGGCGACTTTTTGATCTGCTTCTTAGGCAAATACAAGTAGTCCTTGCTGGACAATAGTAATTGGCACTGGAATTTCTCTCATCAAGTGATGTGGTTGTGAAGTGTGATGTCAAATTACCACATCACTTAGTGAAGGCAGTTCCTGCACTTCCAGTGGCTATCATTAAGTAAGTTCCATAGAATAGTTAAGCATGACACCCCATGGTCACTGTTTGCAACCTCCTGTTGGCTTCTCCATTGACTTTGCTTGTGAAAGTTGCGAATGGCAATTAATATATGTGACCCCAGATACTGCAACATTGTTACTGCAAGCCAGTCACTAAATTCCCAGATCATGATCCCATAATAGTTATAATTTTGGTCACTGAATGAGTGGTTGTTAAACGAGGACTATCTATATGCCATTGTAAAGACAGGAGATGAAAAAGCATCGATGTTCAAGAGTACAAAGCCTTTTGCCCATTCGCCATGAACAATATTTAATCATGTTTTAAAACTACCTCCACAATCTGAATAGTTGAAAGGTGGCAGATAAGTAGGTAAGCAAATGTGTAAATGAAGTAAAGCAAATGACAAATGGAAACTTGTGAAATAACAAAGTTAATCACTGATATTTGAAAAGAAAAAAAAAAGAATGAAAAATATATATATATTTAAGAGAGGCCTAAAGAAGACAGGTTGAGTAGACATGGAAAACACAGGATCATATAGAAAGGATAAAAGCAATTAAATTAAGAAAAATACTAAAGAAAAGGTTACGGTATATAGCCAGCGATTCAGCTTAGCAAATTAGTTAGTTTGCTTATATATGTTATGTGTATACTTTGATTTACAGATTACAGATACTCGTGAATTTTGTTTGGGCTGCATTTGAAGCAGATGGTCTTGATTTGAATTTCCTTGACCAATTGTGATTCAGAATATAACTTTCTTTTTAGTTCTTTTTTTTTTTTTTTTTTGGAGGGGGGAGCTCAAAGGCAACCATTACAAGAGAACGTACTTTGGGGGCAAGACACATTTAGAAATATATATTTAGGAGAGGATGAGTTTGAAAATACAAATACATAATCCTCTTTAAAAATCTTACTTTATAATGGAATCAAATAACATTTTATATTGAGTATGCACTTTTAAAAAAATTCAGCGTTTATTTCAGTCCTACAATTTTCAGCTAGAGTACTGCTGCAGAAGACTTAAAGATGCGTTAGGATAGTAAGAAATAAAATTTAAATGAAATGACTATTCAGTAAGATTCTTAACCAGATCAGTTATAGAATTGCTAGATGAAAAGAAGTAAATTGTAATATTTGTGTCTCAATTTTTGTTGCGATATTGTGCCAAAGATAATAGCAAATATAAAGAATCCATCCGGGTATCCATAATGCTGTAACACAGAATATATATTTATATTTTAAATTCTTCCTTTATTTAGGAGAACCCGGACTTCTTGTGGGCAGGATAAACCAAGAAGACCCCTTGCGGAGATTTGATGGCTATGTCAATCAAAATGCAACTAATAAGAAAATAGCTTATAATGTCTTCCAAAAAGGAGATCAGGCTTATCTTACAGGTATTCTTCATGCAGTTGTCTTGGCCCCTTTGTGTCCTAGAAGGATAATTTTGTAATTTTGAATTATTCAAATATTATAGTCAAAATTACAAAATTATGTAGTATCTAAGTTCCTCAGAAATTAAAGACATATTCAGATATTTGAAATTCTTCCTTAAGCATAGACCTGTGGTAGTATTTAAAAGAAATAATATCTGAACTGGAATTAAAATCACTTAATGCTATGATGACTCCAAAGTTGTTGCTTCTTATGCATGATGATTCAGGGAAGCAGTATTTTGTAAACATCCCAATACTAAGATGACCAACTTTTTTACAATGAGAAGGAGGACACAAATAAATTGGAAAAAAAAAGGGAGTCTAATGCGTGCGTGTGTGCCGTGTTGTTTCGATAAGAAGTAAACAAAGCCACTTGCACGCGGCGCACTCTCTTAAAACAATTCTGTGCAGAGCACATGCGTCTCATAATCGCGTCTCACCACACTGTACCGAGGCTTGACGAATCGTCATGTCAAATACAAATACGTCACATCACACGCAACGGATCGGATCGGCATCGATCGAATACGGAAATTTACAGATTAGTCTTCGAAAAGGAGGACATGTAGGAGGACACTTTTTGAGAGAGGACAGAACTTACAAAAGGAGGACTGTCCTCCCTAAAGGAGGATGGTTGGTCACCTTACCAATACTGTTAGTTCACTTACTTTAACTTAAAACCATTGACAATGGCTTAAAAGCACAATGCAGTGCAAATAAAACACTTCTATTGCCTAAGCTTATTTATCAACATTATTGATTTTGCTCTATTTTGGGATGAATAGAATTACTTTCCAGTATGGATGGAGGTTGTTCTTCTACAAGAAGTTTCTTGATTTGGTTCTGGCCATCATTCTTGAGAGATAGTTTAGGTATAATGTGGATGGTCTTTCTCTCCCTTTTACCAAACCATTTTTGCATGTTTGTTCTTGATCCATCTGTTGTATCGGTAATTGGGAAACAATATGCTTATTGTATTCTAGTCCTCATTTGTTGAAGAGGGACGCAATGGCTCAGTGGTTAAAGATGCTGAGCTGTTCAACTGGAAAGCTGAGAGCCCAGGTTCGAGACTCAAGCGCCGCGCAATGGGGCGAGCTCCCATTCTTGCCCCAGCTCCTGCCCACCTAGCAGTTTGAAAGCATGCAAATGAATAGGCTCACAGGTATCACTATGGTGGGAAGGTAACAGTATATTCCATGCTCTTTGGGCATATAGCCATGCTGGTCACATGACCACAGAAAATGTCTTGGACAATGCTGGTTCTCTCAGGCAAGAAATGGAGATGAGCACCGCGCTCTAGAGTTGGACACAACTGGACAGAGAAACGTTTACCTTTACCCTCATTGGTTGAACTCCCAGCTGGAAGATACAGTTTGGCAGAAGCACAGGCTTCGTGATACATACTGAAATCCTATTCTTCCCGCAGGAGATGTCCTAGTGATGGATGATCTTGGCTATATGTACTTCAAAGACCGCAGTGGGGATACATTCCGCTGGCGTGGGGAGAACGTTTCCACCACAGAAGTTGAGGGAATCCTCAGCCATATTCTCAGCAAGACAGATGTGGCCGTTTATGGGGTAGAGGTACCAGGTAATTTAGAATTTAAAAACTCAGCAAGCAGGTCTGTCAAGTTCAAAATCAGTGGATACTGTTGGGTTTGGTGATGGGAGATACTGTATAATAAAAAGAAACAACAAAGGCAGCTCAAAACATACACCTATAGTAACACTGAAAATCATTAATTTATATGTATGTTAGGGCTGAAAAAAAATCTCTGGAACAGTAGCCATAGAGCAGTGGTTCTCAACCTGTAGGTCGGGACCCCATTTGGGGTCAAACGACCATTTCATGGGGGTCGCCAAACAACGCAGTCCCCCATTTTTTTTCCCCCTTTTCCTTAGCTGTGCTACTCCCTTTTATTCTATTGGCTTTTGAAAGCCAATAGAATAGATTCTCTTGAATAGAGTCTAATTCTATTGGCTTTCAAAAGCCAATAGGAATTGTCCAGGCTATCTCTGCCCTGCTCAGCCCGCCAAAAGTCCTATTCTGCAAACGGTGCTGCACCAGTTGAGTAGTCCTGGACTTACGACCGGTTGAGTAGTCCTCGAATTACGGCCGGTTGGGGGTCGCGGCATTAAAAAGGTTGAGAACCACTGCCATAGAGTAATAGAGAGATAAGGGTACAAGCTGTTATGACGACAGATATATTACAGGAAGTCCAGTTATTTTCCAGTGGTATTCATTCTGAAACTTAAACGGAAGCAGCTGTCTGAACAGATGTAAAACAGGCAGAGTTGATCCTCTTCTTCTGTTTAATGGCAAGGTGTTTTGCTTTGCTGTGTCAACAGCATCTATTGCTCCTTCAGATGCCTCTTCTGTGTTAGCTCACTTGTTTGAACAAATAGTTATTACTTTTGGTCTTTGAGCAAAAAGCAACATAGAGGATTTGTTTGTTTTGTTTTGCAAAGTTGCTTCAACCTTCCACATGGAGAATGTATGACAGGAAACAGCTTAGGTTAATTATTTGATGTAATTGGCTGAATTATTATACATTTATCCCACTTTCTAACCACTGAGTCTCATCATATAAATTAAATATTAGTGTACTGCACTAATGGGGAACAGGTGCCATGCACAAATGGAAGACCCAGAATCTTCTGCGGCAGTTTACCAATTAAGAACTTACGTAAGAGAATACAAAAAGGAAGTGAGGCAGGAAAAACAGGGTGAAGAAACAAGTTGCAATAAATATTTGCAGCCTATTAAAATCATTTAATATGTGGTTGCTGCAATAGCTGGCTGGTGTAGCCAAATAGGTCTTCCTGTTGCAGTCACAGATACACTGACAAATGGAAGAGAGTTATTTAGAAAAGGAGAAAAGCAAAGTCCCTCCAGTGCTTATTCTCTGCAGCTAGGCTCTTTAGCTGTGGAGCAGGGGTGCACATCTGGATTGGATCTCCAGTTGTGAATTAGCTGGCTGCCAGTGGCTTCTTTGTGAAAATGTACCTTTAAGAGTGAGTAGTCTTTATCATTTTGCTTTATGCTGGTCTGTGACCATAGTAAAAATCTGATATAATTTTGCTTATTTCCTTTTTTAAATTTTAGGAGTGGAAGGCAAGGCTGGAATGGCAGCTATTGCTGACCCAAAAGCAAAACTGAATCCTAACATTCTGTATTTGGAGATACAGAAAGCATTACCTCCATATGCACGGCCTATCTTCCTCCGATTTCTGCCACAGGTTGACACCACAGGTAATACAGATTGAAAAAGGTGCCTAAGTTTAAATTAAAGGACCAAGGTGGGATATATAATAGATACTAAAAGGTTTAATAGAGTATTTATTTGTATTAAATGTATTTGCTTTCCATGTCGCCACAAGGTGATTCTGGGCGGTTTACAATATTAAAAGTGATAAAATCATAATAAGAATACAAAATTATAATTAAAAGATGGGAGGGGAGGGAGCAAGACGAGGGGAGGGAGAGGAGGGGATCTATTATTATTCTATTATTACCACCGTAGCTATCTTTTAGCATGTGTTTTATGGCCAACCTTTCTCTTTTACTTCTAAACATTGTTAATTGTTTTGCTCTGTACCTGTCTTTGAAATAAACCTTGAAGGAAGTCAGAAACTGTGTTCCAAAGTAGATAACTTCCTACTTTATTAGATAGTCTGGTGATATCAGAGATGGAGTATTTTCCTTGATTGGACAAAGCACTAGACTCTACAAAGAGGCTGTCTTTCAATTATCTTCCATATTCTTTTAAACTGAGGGTGGTACTCTAGACATGTGAGAGGGAAAAAAGGAGGGTCTACGTAACAATATTCAGATAGAACGTCCAGATTATCTGATCTGCAGTGAACATGAAACGTGCCCTGATATTCAAGAGCAGGTTTAGCTATTCTTTGTGTGTGTGAATGTCACGTTCCTGTATTCCCTCCATTTCTTAATAAACTTTTAAAAAACTTTGTTTTTTTAAAAGGAATTGTAAGGGCTTGTCCACATGAAAGATCATGCAATTACATAGTCACCTTTTGTGAACTGGCATTAGCTTTGTTGTTCTGGGCTTTGGACGAGAAGATTCAAAGCACTTTAGATTTTTTGAAAGCTGGGATGAAGGAAGGAGGGCAAAAAGTCTCCTCAGCCAGACAAACAAGGGTATGAGAGGAAGCTCACTGTCTGATGGCAGCATTTCATAATTCTTTGATTGGGAATCTCTTGGAAGAGGAGGTCCACCAGTGAGATTTAAGTTATCCTCCAGTTTCTAACAAATAACTTTGTGCAGTCTAAACAAGAATTCTCTTTCTTTCTTTGCTAAAATAACTGATCTAAAGTAACGGTATAAACAGACATTATTTTATTTTGTAGATAAACATTAAAAACATTTGTATGTATGAGATGGGAGTTCTCCAACCAAATACACCCCAGCTTGTTTGTAAGAATGGCTATGGGCCTGTTCCATAGTCCAAACCAGTCCTTTTCAGTTGTACTGTACTGGCCAAATGACTAAGATACCGCATTTTGCATTGCAGATGTTCATTTCCTTTTCCCAACCCTTCTTTTTTAATTCCTCTTCTTAGCAGGAGAAAAACCTTTGTCAGGAGGTAGTCATTCTTACCTCACAGAAGTAATCTTCCTCTGAATTTGGCTCAGTTTTGAGTTGTGATTGGAATTCACAGCAATATGTTTTGAAAACGAACCCCGGTGGCTCAGTGGTTAGAATGCGGTATTGCAGGCTGACTCTGCCCAGAGCCTGGCGTTTGATTCTGACGAGGCTCAAGGTTGACTCAGCCTTCCAAAGTTGGCAAAATGAGGGCCCAGATTGTTGGGGGCAATATGCGGACATTGTAAACAGCTCAGATAGTGCTGTAAAGCATTATGGGTGGTACATAAGTCTTAAGTGCTATTCCTATAGCCTTGGTTTGCAGATAAAACATCTTCAGTCTGATCCTTGTCTTTGTCCTAAGTGCTGCTCCTTGCTTCAGAATGGGACAAAACTCGCCACAGCCAAGTCTCTACGGCCACCTTGCCGCGGGACAATTCACTAAGTACAAAAGTTAAATTCATTTCAATGGAACCGTGGCCAATAATAATCATAATAAAAAGAAAGTCAATCCAGAAATGCAAAAGTTACAATAATTTCAATGAAAGTGTGGACCCCTGTAAAGGCAACTGAATGAAACAATTAATTTAGCATTGAATTGGCCCTCAGCAAGTTGGCTGTTGTCCTAGAGCTAGACCTCCCTTGCCTTGCCTCTTTTGCATGTAATTGTCAACAATCGGTTTCTGTCTTCTTTCTTTTTCCACTAGGCACTTTCAAGATTCAGAAGACCCGTTTACAAAGAGAAGGCTACAATCCACACCAGATATCAGATCGGTTATACTTTTTGGATGTGAAACTTGGCAAGTACCTACCAATAGATGAGTGCATTTTTGAGAGGATCCAGACTGGAAAAATGTCTCTTTGATTTAATTGGTGAGACGACGCATAAAGATCCTGATGTCGAAAGGTCTTGTTTTGGTAGAGAAATAGACTTGAATAAATAAGCAAAACAAGATTTTAATATGCAACAGGGAAAAAGCCCACTATGGTGTGAGAGCAAGATGGTTTTCCTTCCTTTTTTTTTTTTTTTTTAAAAAAAGCACATTAACCATTTCCAAAACTCTTTTTGTATTGTTCAGTTTTTAGAAAGGCCTTTTTCTTCCAAATAACTATTGTGATAGGGAATTCCATATAAAAGCGAGAACGATTTCTGATCTGCATTATTAAATGTCCTCAATATACCAGGGATGACTAAACCTGTTGTAGCAAACTGATCAAATTATTTTCTTCTGTGTTAGTTGGCTATATTTCATTGTGTTAAAGCAGAGAATAATTGTTTGGGATAAAGACTTCAGTTCCTTTAGACTTTTCAGGTTCCAGACATACAAATTTAGAGTTCCTCCCATTGTTTCTTTGTAACTTTATTTGTAGCTTTAAGGAACTGACTGTCAAAATGCAACAGTTTATGCGTAGAAACTTGATGTTGAATAGAAAAGCCAGAAACAGAACTAATCAGATGAGATAACAGTATTATTTTTTTAAAATGATATATAAGTATATTGAAAATAAGTTGGTTTGGAAACTCTTCTTGAAATGTTCTCTGGATGCTCTTTTAGCAGAAGGATATTGTGGTACTTCAAATTCCATTTACCTACAGCATATCCATTGGCTGTTACAGACTATACCCTGTGGGAAAATAATTGATGTATGTTCTTTTAATCTATTTTAAATCATCTTATTTAAAACAAACGTTAATTTGGAGGAATGGGATATTTCAAATAATTATTTGACTGCTCCAGAATCTTGAAAAAACAGTTCCATTAAACCCTGAAAGGAGTGGATGTCTGATGCTGTTCAGTCTTTGGACTTACTAATTTCTTCTGACCAGCATAGGAAGCATGTCAGCTCATCAAAGACCATTTGCAACACATTTCTCACACTGATCTTCCAGCAATATCTGATTTGGACATTCATAACTTTGCTTCATTAGTGCCATTTGGGTAGATGGCACTAAGAATTTGTATAAAGACGATACAAATGGACTGCTTGAATTTTGAATGCCTGCCTGTTCAAAGAAGCTGTAATTCTTGGGATACAGTGATATGGAAATATTCTGTTACCAATGTATACACTACTGGCCTGATATATGATTGTGAATAAAATATTTCAGGTACCCTGAATTACTTAAGATCAAATTAATTTTCCTTGATATTTTTCTCTTTGGCAGAAATAGAATTTCATCTAAGAGTATTTTACAAAGACATGTACAGAACAATGTTATTTTATATTTCTGAGTACTGTACACCAAGTATTGTACTAGCCAGGCAATTGATAAATAAGTTTAGAAGCCATGGGAGTCATCTGTTTCCCTTTTTTAATTATAAGACCCAGAATGTGCCTTTTCCAACTTCTCTTCAGAACGAATTAAAACAAGTTAACAATTTTGTTATGAACATAAGATGTATTAGTTGTTGCATAAATAAACATTACCTACAGCTAACTGATATGATCTGGAGAAAAAGATTTGTTTAAAAAAAGCAAACAAAACTAATTTTGCGCCTGGTTTTGCGAATCATGCATTGTCTAACTGAATTTTTTGAAGCAATGTTACATTTTGTTATTGGAGTCACTATTGCCAAAACATAACACTGATTTGAGAAAAACCTTATAAGAATAAAGAACCTTAAAAGAACTCATTTCTGCGTTATGTGCATATCTATTCTGTTAATGAAAATGTTCCGTGTTTGTTATTTCATGTTCAAGTGTCTGCTGTTGGTTCTGTCAGTTTTATTAACCTGGCCAAACAGTACTAGCCAAGCAAAAAAGTCACCACTCAGTATAGCTCTTATGTCTCCCTAGTTTGATAAAAATATAACTTTACTAAAGGATTTACCTCAAGCCATACAGTAGGTCATTGATACAGGGATGGGCCATAATACTATTTTCTTACCAGCCCAATCCATGTTGCAATCGCAAGGGCAAGATGCTCATCTTCAAATTAATCTTTTGTTCCAAGAAATATAACTTGTACAAGGGGTTGACCCAAAGCAAACATCACAGCTCTGAAGTCAGACTTCACATCTATTTCAGAAGCTTTTGGTTGGCAGCTAAATAGCCTCCACTTCTTGGAAGTAAACTTTCTTGGAACGCAAGAAGCCTTGCTTCCAAATAAAAATAGACATGACTGTAACGTAAGCTGTACCTTTGCAAAACATATCACTCTTCCGTCAAACTGGATCTTCTATAGTCTTTCTACCCAGTAAGCATTCGTGTCTATTCTAGACTTCCCTCAAGAGACTGCTTTGATTGAAATGATGTTGCATTTTTCTGAGCCGCTCAAGTTCCATTGATCTCAATTATTTTGTTAATCTGGTTCTAACATTGCTTTAATGTTAATTTAATTTACCACACTTAGAGACATAAAATCTCCCCCCCCCTCCTGCTTATCTTGAGAGCAAAGGCATATCATTTCAAGTAGACACAACCACACTTAACAATTTTCAATCCTAGCCAAATGGGGATCTGAGGGCCACAAAAACAGATAAGTTACTAGTTGTCTACTTCAGTGTATATGTTTATGTATAGGATTCTGTGTAACTTGAAACTTATAAAACCTTTGAACTATAATTTTAAAAATCTTTCCCCAATCCTTCTCAACATAGTGTTTCTCCAAAATGTACCTACCTTGCTTAGGGACAGTTTGTTTTTCTTTTCTCTTTTTATTCCCAGGGCATTTACAATATGTTTCCTATTCAATCCAAGTAATATGGCAATATCTAATCTCTGAAGTTTGTTAACTGGAGGCAAATTCTAACTAAACAAAATGGCACAGCTAATTTGCATTTCACCTCAGTATGGTTTTGTGGTAGGCTGACTTTGCTTGCTCAGGAAATGTATGCTTTCTTCTACTAAACATGTCAACTTCACATCAGAGCCACCCTAAATTTTCTGTGCTGCCTGATGAGGCTGTTATTATGGAACTGCTGTTTCAAACACAGGCTATATACACTGCCCATTTATGAAGATTAAGTAAACTAGTTTACTCAACCCAGTTTTGGATTTTACCAATATCCTGAACCATAAACAGATGACAAGCTAAAATTTAACAACACAATAGGCTTAAAGATAAATTTCAGAAGATACTAGAGCCTTCAAAATCATAGTCTGATGTTTCTTGTCATGATAAATTATTCCTAATGAAATGGCTTTAATAACTAATTCAGTCAGTCTCTGAGTTAAAAGCTAGCTACAAGACAACCTAAAAAAAAAACCTTCAAAATTTTGATTTTGAACAGCTGGTGCCCAAAGTGACAATACTTGGAAAATGCTGGTGTTTCTATTCGACCCGGTTAATCAAAGACCTGAACGTTATCAAATTAAAATAAGAAAACCCTCCTACCAATTCCAGGACATTGGCTTTGTGCAATGGTTAAGGTGTTGGCCAGCAAAGACAGGCCCACCTAGGTTCAGGCCCAATTTGGGGCTACCTGTTAGCCCTATTCAACCTTACAGAGTTCTCAGGAAAGGTAAGAGAGAGAATCTTACTATAAACCTTATGAAATAAATCCCCCTTACCGTCTTTGCCTTTCATCCTTGATTTCCCGCCCCACATTAGACTTCTAATGAAGAAAACTCAAAGGAACTCCAATATGGCCCCAACTTTAATCCATTATTTCATTTCGTAATGCAGCCAAACGAAACTCTTTGGGTCCATTGCAACTTCTATTTTCGTGTTCTCTGCAGTATGTAAGGATCCCGCCTGCCAATAAATATAGGGGGAGTGTCGGCTTCACCGGCTTCCGGTGGCTTCTTGCATATGTTTCCGCCGCTTTTGCCCTTTAACTCCTCCCTCAAAGAAGAGCGTTTCCGCCCGCGTGCCATTGACGACTGCGGTCGCTTCCGCCCGGGCTTGCTCGCCTTCTCACCATGGGTCCCTCTCGGCTTCGCTGCCGGGTTTTTTCGTTCCTCCTCTCAGCTGCCGCCTCACCTCACTCGCCATGCCCGGCTCTTCGGTGCCACGGCGCTCTCCGGCCGCTGCAGCGTCGCCGCCTCCCCAAATCTCGGTCTTCCCTTCGCCGCAGGAGCTGGGCTCGGCGCTGGCCCAGCTGGTAGCGCAGCGGGAAGCTCAGTCCGGCCCGGGTGGGCGCTTCTCCCTGGGCCTGTCAGGTGGAAGCCTAGTGCGGATCTTGGCTCAGGAGCTGCCCGCGGCCGCTGCCTGCCCTGCCCGGTGGCTCCTGGCCTTCGTGGACGAGCGGCGGGTCCCGCTGAACGACCCCGAGAGCAACTTCGGTGCCTACAAGGTGTCTCTCCAGGAGGGGCGAGGGGGGCCTCAAGAAGGGCCGGGGTGGGTGCTGGGGCTGATCCGTGGGGCGGGGCCGGTGGGGGGGACGTGTTTCCTTGGCCGCGGCTCTTCTTCCCGGCCAGGAAGGCTGGGCGTGAACTCCCTCGAGTGATGCCGGTAAACCTGAGACTGCAGGAGGGATAGGCTGGTGGCTGCTTTAAGCTTTGATCTTCCATTTTTTTTCACCTGCAGTCCCCGCGGATTGCGATACCTGTCCACACTGCTTCACCCCTCCCCCCAAAAATAACAACTCTTTTTTTCCCTTTGGTGCTGCAAACGCCTTGCGGAGCCAGACTGAAATCTCCTTTGTTCAGCATCCTATCTGTGACGCCCCCCTCAGCAACCATATTTGCTGCTTTTCACTACAAAAAGCTGGAGCAGATTAATATGAGCCTGTGTCGATTCGTACCCTAAAAACCCAAGCCATGCATGGAGCTGTATGAAATCTGCCCCTGAATCTGTATTGGAAAACAAGTGTCTGTAGCTTGTTGCTTAATTTTTTTAGGGTGGGCTGACTTCCGTTTGTCTGCCTGGGCCACTTCTTCTTTTTGACTAAAAACTCTGTAGTTTGCTTAAGGGTATTAAATTTACATAGCAGGAAAGCTGTTTAAACTATAGCAATTTAGTGTATGGATGCTCACATTAAAAATGTGCATATTCAATGTTAGGCTGCAATCTAAATAGCCTAGAATCTTTTGTCAGACGGGGGTTCAATTGACTGTCAAACATATTGATCAATGGGCAGATGGTGTGTGAGTTTACATTCTGTCTACTTTTGCGGAAAAGTAAGAAATCATTCCTGTTCTTTAGTAATCTTAACAATTGGACCAAATCATTTGCCGAAGGAGAAACTCCCAGATTCTGGAAGATTTGCCTTGTCCTTCCGTAAACTCAATATTCCAGGTGTAAATGATGATTCTCTGAGGTCTGTTTAGGAATACAAATAGTCCTCTACTTATGACCACAACTGAGCCCAACATTTCTTTTGTTAAGCAAGCATTTGTTAAGTGATTTTTGCCCCATTTTACAACCTTTCTTGCCACAGTTAAGTGAATCACTGCAGTTGTTAAGTGAGAAACATGGTTGTTAAGTGAATCTGGCTTCCCCATTGACTTTACTTGTCAGAAGGTTACGAAAGATGATCACATCACCCGGAACGCTGCAACCGTCATAAATATGAGTCAGTTGCCAAGTATCTGAAATTTGATCATGTGACTGTGGAGATGCTGTAACAGTTGTAAATGTGAAAAATGGTCATAAGTCACTTTTTAGTGCCTTTGTAATTTCTAACGGTCACTAAGTGAACTGTTGTAAGTCAAAGACTGCCTGTAATGACCATGACAAAGTTACCTTTTTTTTCTTGATAGGAGTCTTATATCTTTAACTGCTGCATGGAAGATCACAGTTGCACAAGGGAAATATATGCTAGTGTGGAAATACAGCAATGGAAAGTTCATTTGTGGGGTGTTTGTTTTCTTATTTTTATTACACAAGTAAGAATCATGGTACTTACAAGCAGGAGGAAAAAAACAATCAAACCCAAGTTGCACGGAGCTTACAGTTATAGCGAAAAAAGGAAGCAAAATAGGAAGAAGTGCATGTCATAGATTTGATTTCATAGATTTGATCCTGCTTTTATTCTGCCAGAGGAAATAGATTCTATGAGATTGCATAGAATGGAAATTTATCTCCTATCTATTTCATCCGATTTCAATCCCTGCAACATTCTTTTCCTATTCTTAAAGGGTCCTTCTGTTCACTAGGATGGTTCTTGGGGAGTATAATGATAATGCATTCTATTCCCCTCCCCCCTCAATTTGTCCTCCTAAACAGCAACCTCTCCTTTCTATGAGAGTCTCATCTCAGTTCCAACCTGGTTTTGTGTCTGTGTGAAAGCAGAGCAAAAAATATAAGTAAGCATGACCACAGTTACTTTTGTCATTCTGTAATACGATTTGTACTTTGTTTCAGACATACCTCCTTTCTAAAATTGCTATACCTGATGACCAAATAGTTGTTATCAATCCTTCGTTATCTGTAGAAGAGGCAGCGGCAGATTATGCTGAAAAGCTGAAAAAGGTACGGCTGGGAGTTGGTGTATTTTTATTTGCCACAGATAGTCAGATTTTCTTGCAGGGCTCTAGTAACTTAAAGGCAAAGTACAGTGGTTGGAAATGAGATTAAATCCTAACTGGATTTTTTTTTCTCAAGAATTCCCTATTTTCAGTAGCTCCTCCTGGTTTGATCTGCTGTTTTGCCATTCAGTACTGATAAAAGTTCCCCAAATGTTTGACAAAATGTTGATGAGCCACTAACTTTGAATATGTTCATGACACAGTTTTGAGTCCAGACC